TCAAGGTGCCAAAAAAGGCCTTGACTAAGTGTCTTGGGTAAGAAATATCTCAACAAAACTGTTATTCTTCTCATAACTTGAGATGTAATTTGATATGACAGTTAGCTCCCCTACACAAAGAACTTAGTTAAGCACCCCCTAACATATCTCACGATTGAATGAGCTCCTATTTTAACCCTTTGGAGCATATCTGGGACATGATTGGTCGTCGTGTGCAACAATGGGATCCTCCTGTACAGAACCTGGCCTAACTGGAAGCTGCTTACACGAGGAATGGCGTAGACTGACCCTTCAGAGGATCAGGAGGCTGACAGGGGGTATGAGGAGGAGAGTGCTGGCTGTCATACAGTCACATGGAGGTTACACTCGGTACTGACCTTGAATCGTTTAAGACACGCAAAATGACATTTTGAATGTTCACATCAGCCAATACATTCACCATTCAACATCCCAGGGCCATACTTGTACAGACATGGCTTTGTATGAAAATCAGTGTTTCTTTAAAATTAGGAATTATCATCACAGAATCAAGATGGATTCCGATCATTTTAACTTTTTTTATGAGTCAAAGGGTCAACCTATTATTGCAAAAATACAGGGGTGCTTAATTATGTTCTTTGTGTATATATATAGAGAGAGAAGCTCTAGAAGATTCTCCAGTTCCCTGGGTCAGAAAATAGTAGAAAGGCTCGTAGTGCTGTAGTAACTTCAAGAACTCTGTCTAAATAAACCACGCCACCTAGCCTCTACTGTACAGTGTTACATAATGAACAACATCGCCAGATAACAGTTACCTAATAAACATATTCAGGCTGGAAGTCAAGAGTAATTTGGAAGCTTATACAACAGTCCAAATAATCTATTTTTGTACAGAAACTTCTGGAAGTGTTTTGTATGCATGTCAAGGGGCTGATCTCATATTTGCTGAAGATCAGCAGTCTGTGAAGATCGTCATATTCACCTGATTCGGTAGATTGCCCACTGTTGCTACAGGTAAATATTCTTATCAGTGACAGTGCTATTACCGCTGCTGTTCTATAGTATACTGACACTGTGATACTACTGTCATTGAAGTTTGTACCGCCATTTGAATTGATTTGATTTCTAAATTTAGTTATTTTTATAATGCAATTGTTAATTTTGCAGCTTTTTCTTTATCTTTGTTGTTTTCTGGTCAACTTATTGTGTTCAGGTTTAGCCATACATTTCACATTTCTGTGTAATGGTTGTCTTGATGATCCCCAATCAGTAGAATGCATGGGGTCTGTTCATTGTAGCTTAGACTAGTGAAGAACCATCGAAGGACTACGAGATATTTCGGATCAGGTAAGAAATGGTGTAGTCCTTGAGCCTTGGCGAGTGATCGGGAGCGTTCATTCCCGAATCCCGGCATGTAGTGGGATCACAAGCACTATTAACAAGTTGGAGATATTCAACATAACGTTTGCCCAACAACAATTGATCTTAAACCTCGCCCGTTAATTCGCCTCAGCCTAGTTTTTTCGTTTTGTTTGCGCGTAATGGCAGTGGCCCAACTTGTGCTTTGCAAAAGGTATCATGAGCCACCATTTGGAAATTTAAATGTTAACACCCACAACCCATACCCCACACACACCAACATTCCAAACCCACCCGAAATTGTATTTATTGATTTATTGATAAATTTGGTTATAACATAAAATAATACCTCATTAAAAATGATAAAATGAAACGGGCCCAAGAACTGATCACAATATGACTATTCGAATTAAAAATATACCATTCACTCAGGTGCAGAGGATATTCAACGATTATCCACAATGGCGTTGGCGGACTCTAGTGTATCTACTCTCACCTTCTACCCTGGAAAACTGTTAAAATGTATTAGTGATCCTGCAAACCACATAAAAACTGTGGAGTCAAAATCTCACAGAATGATTGGACATGTGTTATGAAGTGATAAATACAAATAATGTTTACTTCAAATTAGAGCATGAAAATTTCCGATCATAACAACAGGCCATAGTAACCTGGTCGGGGTTTAGGCTCTTGAACGCTGAGTGGCTCTCTCTAGTTCGGGCCGACACAACTCTTTTACCTCCGGAATCGCTCGCCGTGACAGACAGTATCGACTCACTAACTCTGCATTGTTGAATAAATCGAGGGGCGCCGTCCGGTTATGATATACCATTTCGGCATTCTTCCTATTGACATTCCCCAAACATTTGGGCGGTGGGGTAGCCTAATGGTTAAAGCGTTGGCTCGTCACGCCGAAGACCCGGGTTCGAATCCCCACATGGGCACAATGTGTGAAGCCCATTTCTGGTGTCCCCCGCCGTGATGTTGCTGGAATATTGCTAAAAGCGGCGTAAAACATAACTCAGTCAGTCAGTCAGTCAGTCCCCAAACATTGCATGAACAAACAAGTACGACAACATGTTGTGTTCGTCTATTATTTATTTAGGACACGTCAAACCTATCCTAGCATTTGTCCTAAGTTAGGATATCCTAGCGCTAAGATACTTTTCGAGAATAAGGTAGGACACCTATCCTAGACCCTAGGATCAAAGTTAGGATATCCTAGGGCTAGGGTCGTTTCGAGAATAGGGGCCCTGTTACCTTTCTCACTCTTGCAGTTTCAGTATCGGTTCTGCCCGTGAAGCAGAGCTGCTTACTCTTTTCACATGATGTCATCATTGATTGTGTACTTGACGCATACATGTATTTTCCACAATCACATTCTCTGTCACGCTCTAATGATTCTGTTTCGATGCTGACTATTCTCCGACGTGGACGTAATTAATGATATAGGCGAGATTTCAACATCCGACAAATGAGAAATGTTAACTGAACAATCATCTAACAATTGGTTTTCATTTGTCTGTAATCAGAAATGTATAGCAAGTGAAAAGTGAAAAGTACGGAGAGTGACTTCTTCAGAAATACCAGGATTGCGTAGAATTTCAGCCCAGGCAATGACCAACCGTCTACGCTCCGTACGGGAGCGTGGGGTAGCCTAGTGGTTAATGCGTTCACTCGTCACGCCGGAGACCTGGGTTCGATTCCCGACATGGGTACAATATGTGAAGCCCATTTCTAGTGTCCCCCGCAGTGATATTGCTGGAACATTGTTAAAAGCGGCGTAAAACCTTACTCACTCACTCACTACGCACCGTACGTATTCGCCCGAGACCACCAATCCATTCTGACTTATCAGCATCGGAGCCTGCGTCGTCAATGGTGTCAAGGACAGGGAGTATGGGCACAACAGCAATGGCGACGTGTTTGGTTAAGTGACGAGTGACGTTTTTCACTTCTCCATTCAGACGGAAGACATCGTATTGACAGATGTCATGGGAACGTTATGCTCTAAACTGCATACAGAAAGTGGTCAGGTTTGGTGGCTTTAGGGTAATACCGGCAGAACGAACTTGGTACACGTCCAGGGCAATTTAAGCAAACGTCATTTTTCAACACGACAAGACTGACACAGGCCTAATTCAGGAACCACAATATCCAAGTTCTGCATGGCTCTCCCATCGAAATCCCATCGAACATTTATGGGATGCTTATGATCAACGTCTGTGATCATCCAACAGCTGGCTCAAGCACTCCAGAAAGAGTAGATGAACATTCCACAGGCCACAATTATTAACCTGATTGGTTCTATACCAGGTCGTTCTGGACTTTCATTGGGCCATCCAAAATACTGAAAACAGGAGACCTTCACCTTGACATTCGATGGTTTCATCCGTGTAATTATGAACCTCTGTCAGTCACAACGACATGCAAAATTTGTAAAAAAAATTATGATCTGTGAATATTTACATAATACATAAAGTATACATCTGAAATCCACTTTTACCTATATTTTTATTTTCATACATTTAACCAAATCCTATATAACCTTTTGTTTTCAAAGCTATTAGTCACGCAGGCAGTGCGATTTTACAATAACCAGAGTAGGTGATCTAGACTTCCCGTTGTTTTCCATGTTTTAGTGGGTCGCTGACTTAGTGTGCTGGCGATTTGGTGCCTCCCGTATGATTTTCGAATCCCAGATAGAACTCAATCCAAAGACGTGCCATAATTAGAGTTCTGGATAACTTAGATATTTCCATGTGTAATTAGGTTACCCATTTATTGCCAGATTGATCTTGACAAGACAATTTGAAAGACAAAAATGGTAAAATACGAACTTGTGGATGGGAATGACAGTCTTATCACCCTTTAAGTCAAGGGCCTTTATCAAATGTTTCAATCTAAATAAATAGGTCTCACACGAACGAAAGGTTTGTTTCAGTAGAAATCAGTGTGGATGAGGTTAATGCGTCCTGGCAGAGTGCTGTTTGTGTTCATGGTGCCTTGGTGACCCTGGACTGGATGCGACATACGTTGTTGAACATGATCCAAGGAAGCCACGACACCCGTGTTCTCTCATACAAAACAACAAACAACTCATTGGTAACAACATAAATTTGTAGAATTTTAATATTATGAAAATAAAAAAGTAATTAGAATGATGCAACAAAATATACACATGTCAAGTGTGTGAGTGAGTGGGTGTGTTTGTAGGTGTGCGGGCGCCTACGACAGTACTTTGCTTTGTAGGTACATATATGAAACACAAGGCATTGGAATGGTCTTTACTTTGCAATTATTTGGAAGATATCCTGAGTAACTACATCGTTGTAAGGTTCTTCTTCACGCATTTACACCCAATTACATAGCAAACAAGGGAGCGAAGTTTGCATGTTTCAACATATTTGACGAGTGACGCAACGTATGTATAATGTTAGATATTTTGTAAAAATATGTTATCCTGAAATCATATATACGTGACATGCGTAGAATGAACGATATTTTTAATACTTATCCAGACTGCGTATGGATGCAATATATCATCAAATCACACAAATATGTTTATCATGATTTCACAGCCGTGTCATCAGACTGTGGTAATGAAGAGTTCTTCATGCTGAGGAAAAGCATCCCTGTCGGTTCGGCATATTATGCTTTGCCTGCATCGTCGTCGACATGTGAAATGGAAGCCTCGATAGGTGAAACATTGTCATAATTGGGATTGCTCACTCCAGATACATCTCCATTATTAGTAGACTTGGAAAAGAAGGCGGAGGCTCCCCCGAGTGACACTCCGAATCCCCCCCTCGAGGTACTGGCTGGGATGTCAGGCACAAGTCCCTTGGTCAGGGTGTCCTTGTTTTTGTACTGGCGTCTGTAGTACAGGAAGCCACAGACGGCAGCGGCGATGACCAGAGCGCAGACGATAGGGGCGGCAATGGCGGCTGCTGGGGCCGAGTTGTTGGAGATTTTCTGAGTAACTGGACCTCCCGTGGGAACGCTTGGAGTCGTTGGGAGAACTCCTGGGGGGAAGAGGAAACACAGGTAGAATGATACGAAATAGGTGGACACGCTTTGAACTAGCTTGCGTCACAGATAAAAACATATATGAACAATACAAAATAACTGGACATCGTAAGCCATGCAGGATGGTCACTGGACATTTACAGTGAGGAAGTAAAAATCCGACTGGTTGATAATAATGTTGCTTCACTTCTGGTTAAGATTTAGTCATTGCCGAATGAAAACCCGAATTCGCAAAATATTAAAGGGTGAAACCATTATGGTTTATGTTACATGGAAAAGCCTGTTTCTACTGTCTGTTCAAATTTCAAGTTGGGTGTCTGGTCATCCATGCTCACCTGAACACTCTACACCGGCATCCTCCGTGTGGAGACAGTTCTGTATCGCAAAACCATTAAATGGACAGTCCTGTAGGTGAGATTCATTCCCCCTGCAGCCAAGATTGTCCATCCAGATCGGCCCCTTACCCTGGCCGTAAAGGGCTTTGGTTATGGCCTTGCCCTTGGCATATCCAAACATCATGCAGGCAACGGTGGCGTCTCTGTCATCCCATAAGTCGTCACAGACGGTGCCCCATTTGTCTGGTCCCTGAAGGAATACTTCCACCCTCCCAGTGTTGTTGGTTGGGCCGTCAACAAGACGTACTTTTGTTACCTCTGAGGGATGGAAGATAATCAATCAGATTTGACAGAGGTACAGATAAGCTGCGTATCTGCGTAAATTACGCAAATATTTATGTGAAAACTCAATTCCTATTAAGACTATTGCGTACAAATACGCTTGAAGTTTTGTAAATACTCAATAAATGTGATCTTACATGCGTATACACAAAAATGTCAAATCTTAGCTTGCGTACCGGTGGATAAATAAAATAAATGTGGTATATTGAGACATTCTATTTCAGTACATGAACTTGGCAACTTGCAGTCTTTATTATTGTTTCTCATACTACAGATCAAATGTAAATAACAAACACTAACATTTAAACTTTGTTGTTGTTTTTAAATTAATGGAAATAGCAAAATACCCAATTGAGTTTGAGTGAGATGAGTGCAATTTATTTAGTTACTCAAAGGAAAATTGGGATACCCAATTGGGATGAGCACAAGCGAGTACATAACTTAATGACCCAAAAAGTTATCTGTAACTCTGGATTTGGATGTAATAAAGTCTCTGTCAAGCTGAGATTCACAACTGACATAAAATGCTGTTTATATGAAACAAGTGTGCAATCGTGTCACATGGCCATACAAGCCCAGTATAGAAGATCCCGTGTTTGTTCCCCGACAGATCCTGTGACAGGTGCCCCTAGGTGGGTCCTTGCTCAAGTTTGTTTATCCACTGGTCCCGTTTGATCACAACCAAGACATCGAGATATTGCTACAATTCTAGAAGGTTTGGGCAAAATAACATTCATTCGGATTATTATCATAGATAGAAAGCGAAGTGCAAGTGCCCTCTTGGTCTGGTATGTGTGACTTAGAAATGTCTGTGAGGATACTTACTGATCTCCTTGTTGTAGCACTTGGCGGATGACGGTCCAATGTTTTTACAGTAATACGACCACCAGTAGCTGTAGGATGACAGGGACGAATCGAAGCCGTCGTTCATGCAGGTAGGGAGAGTAGTCTCATTTCCATAGCATTTAAAGTAATGGAACCATATCGGCCTGTTGTCATTGGCGACTTTGTAGCCGGCACTGGACACTGGGAGTCCATCCACGTGGCCGAGACTCTTGCAGGCCACCTTGGCGGTGTTGGAGGAGACGGACGCGTCACAGATGGTGCCCCATTGGTTGTCATACTTCATTTCAATACGGCCTTGCAGAGGACTGTCACCTGCACCGCTCACCAAGCGATACTGTATTCCTGCAATTATTAACATTAGACATTACGAAGAGTGTAGAGATTGGTTTAGGCTGTATGTTGACGTCAGTACAAAGACAATGGTGCTGTTTCACCCGACTGAATCTACAGAATATTCTTGATGATGATGCTAACATGCGATACTAGTGAATCTATTATACAGAACGCGTCCCTTATTACCCGTTCTGAGATGGAGTGGAAACATATTAAACTGCAACAGTAGTTCAGGTTAGAGTGACGGCCTTGGGAAGTGACCCTTCTGAGATCTCTCGTCATTGGAAACACACTTCAAAATCTATTCTCTTTCTGTTAAGTTCTGTTTTATTACACGAAATTTCATATGCTGACACTAGGTGTATTGTTTTATATCTTTTAATGTATCGGGACATCCGTATACCACGTTTCTGATTATACGAAGAATCAAGAGAAGCCACAGCTATGACCTACCTGAGTTCCTGTAACACAGCAGTCCAGCTCTCGGGGCGTAGTAGTCACACCACTTGGTGGTGCTGCGTGACTTGTAGGCACACTTTGCCAGACTGTCCTCATTGCCATTGCAGACCACGTCTGTCATCAAAATGGGGCGTTTCTCGCTGATGATATGCTGACCTGTACTGTGGAAGGGGTTGTATATGGCGGGCGTGTAGGCAACGCCACCTTTGAAGTTCAACTGTTTACAGGCGATGTTAGCTGCACGGTCGTCGAAGCCGGAGCCGCAGACGCTGCCCCAGATGCCGTTGATTCTTACTTCCAGAAACCCGTGGGTGTCGTCAACTACGTCGTCAGCAACGAGCCGAGGAAGGAAACCTGGATCAAGTGAAAATAGGTCGTCACTGACGCCGACATAGCAGCGAACAATTACCACATGGGTGAAATACTGCCTAAGTGACTTAACATTAACTCGACCCGTGAAGATCCCGGGAAGAATAGGTCTTCAGCAACCCATTCTTGTCATAAAAGGCGACTATGCTTGTCGTAAAAGGCGACTAACGGGATCGGTTGGTCAGGCTCGCTGACTTGGTTGACACATGTCATCGGTTCCCAATTGCGAAGATCGATGCTCATGCTGTTGACCACTGGATTGTCTGGTCCAGACTCGATTATCTACAGACCGCCGCCATATAGCTGTAATATTGCTGGGTGCGGCGTAAAACTAAACTCACTCACTAACATTAACTCAATCCTCGTTACCGAGGGTGTAGGGACAACCATAGGCGAGCATTCCCCGACAAGAGCACGCCCTGGTCCACAACGTGTAACCCTAGTAACATGATTCTGAAGCAGGGTTGCATAAATGTCAAAGAAATATTATGGCAGTCAGTCAAATATCATTCCATGATGGTTGGGGTATTTTTAGCTTTTCTTTGTTTTCCTTGGTTTACTTTTGTATGCTTACTGTCTTACATTTATGTATGCAAAATAACTTACCTGTATCAGTTATGGGGTCGCTGGAACACACCACAGAGGCGTAGGTGCCACTTTTGCAGGCTGTTGATGATGTTGTTGAACACTGTTTGAAGTTGGCCTCCCGACCATTGCACGTCACCTGGCTAATGGCGATCGGCCCGTCGGTAATGCCGAACAGAGAACCACCAATATTTATGCCAAAGTTGAAGCCCATTGTTCTACAGACCACTCGAGCGGCGTTCTGGTCAAAGCCGCTGTCGCACACGGCGTTCCATTTGTTGTTGGCGTACACCTCTACAGCGCCCATGGAGGAGTTGAGGCCAGTGTTGAGCTTCACTGGAAATATAAGATTGAACATGAGGGCTTTGATTATTGTAGACAGTGGTGATAACCTTACCATCTACACGCGACAAGTCCTTTGTATTTCTGAGAACGAGTGTTTTTCGTTCTTTCATCTTGAATTCCATTATATAATATCTGTAGTTTCTAAAATTAATTAAATTGGGATAATAATACAAATTTCCGTCAGGTTCAGCTGGCTCATTAATAATCAATGCTGCTTTGTTTAAATGGGGATATACGGTTAGAAGAAAACCCTGTCATACACATCTTTATACAAGCAGATGCTCTGTATGCAGTGATCAAATGCGCATACTAGCTCACCATTGTCGACACAGAAGACGGAGACGTCATCGCGATGACTCTGGCACGACCAGAAGCTGAAGCCGGAGACGACCTCGCTGTTGTAGCCAGAGTGGGGGCAGCTGTGAAGACTGGGTTCGGTGCCGACACACTGGAGGCCGCTCAGCCACATGGGACCACTTCCCTGGCCGTAGAAGGCGTTTGGGATGGCGTAGCCGTCCTTGTATCCCATCTGCCGACAGAAGACGCCGGCCTCGCGGTTGTCAAAGTACCTGTCGCAGACTGTTCCCCAAACATTGCCCACAGACATCTCCACCCGACCGTAGTTCTGCTGTGTACCATCGGGCGCCACCATGCGGTACTGGATACCTGGGGGAGGGTTCAGTAACAATGCTTTGAGTGTACCAATACGATGTGACGAATTAACGGCATTGCATGACCTTAAGCAGTTAGGGTACAAACCCAAGCTAAATTCATATGCATTTCAACGCTCTATTGAATTTTAATAAATTTAATTTCATTACATATTCCCGACTGAAATATCTTGTACAGCCAATATTCACATAGATCTTAGGTTAATAGGCAGTTTTCAGCCACTTGAAATGTAAATGGTTCAAGTTTCGTTTGGGTTGTGATGATTTCTGTTCTGCCCTAGGCCCACGATAATTGCAAGAATTACTTCAGTGGAATCACACAGTGATCATGTTAGGTTTGACATACTTTTGTCGCCGTTGAAGCAGATAGCTGAAGCGATGTCGGCGGAGCTGCAGTTCCCAAGACTCATCCTGTCGCTGTAGGCGCAGTCTGTCAAGGATGTTTCACTTCCGGTGCAGTTCACGGCGCTGAGCCAGAAGGGACCACGTGATCGGAGGGGTTGATAGTTGTATTTGACAGAGTGGTGGTAGGCAATACCGTTGTCGTAGTGCAGGCCTTTACAGAAGACCGTGGCCTCCGTGTCGGTCCAGAAAGTGTTGCAAATCCTGCCTTTCACGTCATAGTGCTGCACGGCGATCTGACCACTGTCCGACGTGGAGTCGTCAAATCCCAGCGTGTAGGCTATGGAGAATAAGGTCAGAATAACAAACTTGATGGGAACCAAAAGTGAAACGCCACTGTACTGAATATGAAGCGACTGGCGTCAACAGCGCTACATCATACACACTGTGACCAGTATGAAACTGTTTGTATAAATTATCACTACGTGACCAGTAGGAAACTACTTGTATATATTATCACTGTGTGACCAGTATGAAACTGCTTGTATATATTATCAATATGTGACCAGTATGAAACTACTTGTATATAAACTACTTGTATATATTATCACTGTGTGACCAGTATGAAACTACTTGTATATATTATCACTACGTGACCAGTAGGAAACTACTTGTATATATTATCACTGTGTGACCAGTATGAAACTGTTTGTATAAATTATCACTACGTGACCAGTATGAAACTACTTGTATATATTATCACTGTGTGACCAGTATGAAAGTACTTGTATATATTATCACTGTGTGACCAGTATGAAACTACTTGTATATATTATCACTGTGTGACCAGTATGAAACTACTTGTATATATTATCACTGTGTGACCAGTATGAAACTACTTGTATATATTATCACTGTGTGACCAGTATGAAACTACTTGTATATATTATCACTACGTGACCAGTAGGAAACTACTTTTATATAAATTATCACACTTGACCAGTATGAAACTACTTGTATATATTATCACTGTGTGACCAGTATGAAACTGTTTGTATAAATTATCACTACGTGACCAGTAGGAAACTACTTGTATATATTATCACTGTGTGACCAGTATGAAACTACTTGTATATATTATCACTGTGTGACCAGTATGAAACTACTTGTATATATTATCACTACGTGACCAGTATGAAACTACTTGTATATATTATCACTGTGTGACCAGTATGAAACTGTTTGTATAAATTATCACTACGTGACCAGTAGGAAACTACTTGTATATATTATCACTGTGTGACCAGTATGAAACTACTTTGTATATATTATCACTGTGTGACCAGTATGAAACTACTTGTATATATTATCACTGTGTGACCAGTATGAAACTGTTTGTATAAATTACCGGTTATGCGACTAGTATGATATATATTATCACTATCACTGTGACCAGTATGAAACTGTTTGTATAAATTATCACTGCGTGACCAGTATGAAACTACTTGTCTATATTATCACTGTGTGACCAGTATGAAACTAATTGTATATATTATCACTGTGTGACCAGTATGAAACCGTTTGTATATATTATCACTGTGTGACCAGTATGAAACTGCTTGTATATATTATCACTGTGTGACCAGTATGAAACTGCTTGTATATATTATCACTGTGTGACCAGTATGAAACTGCTTGTATATATTATCACTACGTGACCAGTATGAAACTACTTGTATATATTATCACTGTGTGACCAGTATGAAACTGTTTGTATATATTATCACTGTGTGACCAGTATGAAACTACTTGTATATATTATCACTCTGTGACCAGTATGAAACTGCTTGTATATATTATCACTACGTGACCAGTAGGAAACTACTTGTATATATTATCACTGTGTGACCAGTATGAAACTGCTTGTATAAATTATCACTACGTGACCAGTATGAAACTACTTGTATATATTATCACTGTGACCAAGTGACCAGTATGAAACCATTTGTAAAAATTATGACTACGTGACCAGTATGAAACCGTATTTGTATAAATTATCACTGCGTGACCAGTAAGAAACTACTTGTATATATTATCAATATGTGACCAGTATGAAACTACTTGTCCATATTATCACTATGTGACCAGTATGAAACTACTTGTATATATTATCACTATGTGACCAGTATGAAACTACTTGTATATATTATCACTATGTGACCAGTATGAAACTGCTTGTATATATTATCAATATGTGACTAGTATGAAACTACGTGTGTATATTATCAATATGTGACCAGTATGAAACTATTTCTATAAATTATCACTACGTGACCAGTATGAAACTACTTGTATAAATTATCACTGTGTGACCAGTATGAAACTACTTGTATATATTATCACTGCGTGACCAGTATGAAACTATTTGTATAAATTATCACTGTGTGACCAGTATGAAACTATTTGTATAAATTATCACTACGTGACCAGTAGGAAACTACTTGTATATATTATCACTGTGTGACCAGTATGTAACTACTTGTATATATTATCACTGTGTGACCAGTATGAAACTATTTGTATAAATTATCACTACGTGACCAGTAGGAAACTACTTGTATATATTATCACTGTGTGACCAGTATGAAACTATTTGTATAAATTATGACTACGTGACCAGTATGAAACTATTTGTATAAAATTATACTGCGTGACCAGTATGAAACTACTTGTATATATTATCACTACGTGAGCAGTATGAAACTACTTTGTCCATATTATCAATATGTGACCAGTCTGAAATTACTTGTCATTATTATCAATATGTGACCAGTATGAAACTAATTGTATATATTATCACTATGTGACCAGTATGAAACTACTTGAATATATTATCAATGTGTGACCAGTATGAAACTGCTTGTATATAATTATCAATATGTGACTAGTATGAAACTACGTGTATATTATCAATATGCGACTAGTATGAAATTACGTGTATACACTATCACTACTTGACCAGTATGAAACTATTTGTATATTATCAATATGTGACCAGTATGAAACTACTTGTATATATTATCACTGTGTGACCAGTATGAAACTGCTTGTATATATTATCACTGTGTGACCAGTATGAAACTACTTGTATATATTATCACTACGTGACCAGTATGAAACTACTTGTATATATTATCACTGTGTGACCAGTATGAAACTGTTTGTATAAATTATCACTACGTGACCAGTATGAAACTACTTGTATATATTATCACTGTGTGACCAGTATGAAACTACTTGTATATATTATCACTGTGTGACCAGTATGAAACTACTTGTATATATTATCACTGTGTGACCAGTATGAAACTGCTTGTATATATTATCACTACGTGACCAGTATGAAACTACTTGTATATATTATCACTGTGTGACCAGTATGAAACTGTTTGTATAAATTATCACTACGTGACCAGTATGAAACTACTTGTATATATTATCACTACGTGACCAGTATGAAACTACTTGTATAAATTATCACTGTGTGACCAGTATGAAACTGTTTGTATAAATTATCACTACGTGACCAGTAGGAAACTACTTGTATATATTATCACTGTGTGACCAGTATGAAACTATTTGTATATATTATCACTGTGTGACCAGTATACATTTGTATATATTATCAACGCGACCAGTATACTTTGTATATATTATCACCGTGTGACCAGTATGAAACTGTTTGTATAAATTATCACTACGTGACCAGTAGGAAACTACTTGTATATATTATCACTGTGTGACCAGTATGAAACTACTTGTATATATTATCACTGTGTGACCAGTATGAAACTACTTGTATATATTATCACTGTGTGACCAGTATGAAACTGTTTGTATAAATTATCACTGCGTGACCAGTATGAAACTACTTGTATATATTATCACTGTGTGACCAGTATGAAACTGTTTGTATAAATTATCACTGCGTGACCAGTATGAAACTACTTGTCTATATTATCACTGTGTGACCAGTATGAAACTACTTGTATATATTATCACTGTGTGACCAGTATGAAACTACTTGTATATATTATCACTGTGTGACCAGTATGAAACTACTTGTATATATTATCACTGTGTGACCAGTATGAAACTATTTGTATATATTATCACTGTGTGACCAGTATGAAACTACTTGTATATATTATCACTACGTGACCAGTATGAAACTACTTGTATATATTATCACTGTGTGACCAGTATGAAACTATTTGTATATATTATCACTGTGTGACCAGTATGAAACTACTTGTATATATTATCACTCTGTGACCAGTATGAAACTGCTTGTATATATTATCACTACGTGACCAGTAGGAAACTACTTGTATATATTATCACTGTGTGACCAGTATGAAACTGCTTGTATAAATTATCACTACGTGACCAGTATGAAACTACTTGTATATATTATCACTGTGTGACCAGTATGAAACTATTTGTAAAAATTATGACTACGTGACCAGTATGAAACTGCTTGTATAAATTATCACTGCGTGACCAGTAAGAAACTACTTGTATATATTATCAATATGTGACCAGTATGAAACTACTTGTCCATATTATCACTATGTGACCAGTATGAAACTACTTGTATATATTATCACTATGTGACCAGTATGAAACTACTTGTATATATTATCACCATGTGACCAGTATGAAACTGCTTGTATATATTATCAATATGTGACTAGTATGAAACTACGTGTGTATATTATCAATATGTGACCAGTATGAAACTATTTCTATAAATTATCACTACGTGACCAGTATGAAACTACTTGTATAAATTATCACTGTGTGACCAGTATGAAACTACTTGTATATATTATCACTGCGTGACCAGTATGAAACTATTTGTATAAATTATCACTGTGTGACCAGTATGAAACTATTTGTATAAATTATCACTACGTGACCAGTAGGTGAAACTACTTGTATATATTATCACTACGTGACCAGTATGAAACTACTTGTATATATTATCACTACGTGACCAGTATGAAACTAATTGTATAAATTATCACTACGTGACCAGTATGAAACTACTTGTATATATTATCACTGTGTGACCAGTATGAAACTATTTGTATAAATTATGACTACGTGACCAGTATGAAACTGCTTGTATAAATTATCACTGCGTGACCAGTATGAAACTACTTGTATATATTATCACTACGTGACCAGTATGAAACTACTTGTCCATATTATCAATATGTGACCAGTCTGAAACTACTTGTCATTATTATCAATATGTTACCAGTATGAAACTAATTGTATATATTATCACTATGTGACCAGTATGAAACTACTTGAATATATTATCAATATGTGACCAGTACGAAACTGCTTGTTTATAATGATCAATATGTGACTAGTATGGAACTACGTGTGTATATTATCAATATGTGACTAGTATGAAATTACGTGTATACACTATCACTACTTGACCAGTATGAAACTATTTGTATATTATCAATATGTGACCAGTATGAAACTACTTGTCTATATTATCAATATGTGACCAGTATGAAACTACTTGTATATATTATCAATATGTGACTAGTATGAAACTAGTATACATTATCACTACGTGACCAGTATGAAACTATTTGTATATTATCAATATGTGACCAGTATGAAGCTACTTGTATATATTATCAATACGTGACCAGTACGAAACAAGTGTATATATTATCAATATGTGACCAGTATGAAACTGCTTGTATATATTATCAATATGTGACTAGTATGAAACTACGTGTATATATTATCAATATGTGACTAGTATGAAACTACGTGTATACATTATCGGTACGTGACCAGTATGAAACTAATCAAATATTATCAATATGTGACCAGTATGAAACTCCTTGTCTATATTATCAATATGTGACTAATATGAAACAACGTGTATATATTACCAATATGTGACCAGTATGAAACTACGTGTATATATTATCAATATGTGACCAGTATGAAACTGATTGTATATATTATCAATATGTGACTAGTATGAAACTACGTGTATATATTATCAATATGTGACTAGTATGAAACTACGTGTATACATTATCGGTACGTGACCAGTATGAAACTATTTAAATATTATAAATATGTGACCAGTATGAAACTCCTTGTCTATATAATCAATATGTGACTAATATGAAACTACTTGTATACACAAAACATTGCCATTTGTGGGGCCAGTATGCAATTGCTTGTAAACATTACCTCTGTGTAACCAGAATGAAACTGTGTGCATATATTATTACTTTGGGGTCAGTTTTAAACTGCATGCATGCATTATTCATGTGTGGCCAATATGAAACTGCTTGTATACAGTTTCCAAACAATGCATATAACCGAGGACAAAGAGGACAGTATGTTAGCTCGATGGGACCAACTTCATCCGGGTTTACATGACAGTGTATATTACAAATGTGGACTAATAATAGCACGGGTGGGAATAAATGGAAATATACAAATGTAAAAAAAAATAATAGCCCGCGACCAGCACGGTTAGTATATGATGCAGTGTACGCTTGGACCAACCTCCCCTTGGTTTCAGGGGATGAGGTGCTTACAACCTTTGGTCCACTCTGCATAACAGAACACACATGTCATTAAGATGTTTGTGTCAAAGAAGTGTCGTTAGTTAAAGGTATTTCAAAAACACACTGAACAAATCAAATGATAGACATGGTATTTAGATCAGGTGATTCTGAAGAAAAATGGACACATAGAAATAGAGTAAAGGGTCATCACTTACTTTCTTCGACTCTGTCTGAGGTGTTGAAGCAGACGACAGATGCATAGTCCTGGGAGCAGGTGCCGGGTGCGAGGCACGTCATCGGATCAGACTGGGTGCCGTCACAATTCATCGTCGTGTTGGGTAGGAAGCTGCCGAGGCCGTTGCCGTAGTAGGAGTACCTGACGTATTTCGATCCATAGGCCGAACAGCACAAGGCCTTCCCATCAACAAAGCCAAGACTTCTACACACAGTCTTAGCGGTCAGGTCATCGAAGTTGGTGTCGCACACGTAGTGCCAAGTGTTGTTCTTCCACACCTGAACAGGGCCTTGCTTGATGTCCGGGGAGAATCCAGAAGCCAGTTTGACTGAAGACAACGCGGGGGCCAGATTTAGGATTATACACAAGCAATAACAACTATTGCAATATTACCGGTAAACCGGTATATACCGGTACAGTATCTCTGTGTGAATATCACGATATGGTTCAGATTCTGCAATATGTTGGGTTATCCATAGCTAGCTCCCTTGATTTCCATAGCAACAAAATTACTGATACCCCTCGTGAATTCGTGAGGTGATTCAGAACAAACGTGCAGAAAGTGAAGTTTGGAAATATCACCACGCGTCTGTGATTGTAAGGTTGAAGAGAACGTAGTTGTGTGCAATAGGTGTTACGTCCATGTCAAAAACAACTCAAGAGGAAAAAGTATCTTTATAAGTGCCTCCAAAAGTGCCAAATATTCTACCAAAGGTTTTAAGTTTTGTGGGTTTGAACGGTTTCATATGTGACATTTTGAAGGAATTAAGTGGCCTCAAATGGACCAATTATTTTTACCTATCAACAGAGCCTCTGGTTGTGAATAACCATTTCACAGTTCACATAATTTAGTAGGACTGTATGATGACATTCTAGTCAAGGATCTTAGTTAGGGACCGTCCAATTTTGTACATATTTAGATAAACATATTATGGGGGGTCATTGATTTTGTACATGACATGCAGGGGGTCACTTACTATGTACATAAAATTTAGAAAGGGGTGGGAGGAGGGGCATTCAAATTGTACATGCTTCCCCATACAAATCATCATCAACCCCCACCCCCACCCCAGCCTTAAATCATGAATGGTCCCTTATTGGAGGTCACGTGAGAACTTAAGCTCAAGTAGTTCACCTGAATCATGTTTTTGATTCATTCGGCAATATTTCACGTTAACACATGTCTACCCTGGCGTTGAATCTGAATGAATCACTGACATACAGTAACAATAATTACATTCTACATTGAAGTGCATTCTGTTGAAGCAAACAACGCTGACCAGCAACAGCAACTAAGAAGATGATGTCGCACACAGAGAGCTATTATGAATTTATGATGTATGCATTTGGGCAGAAACCTTCCAGTCAATAGATCACAATATATCTTGCAATATCTCTTAAATTATGGCAATATATCGCAACATGAGAATCAGGGCAATATCCAGCCCTAATAACCACTACATCAGAATAGCACAGAGTTCATCAACGCCAATAAGGAGGGTAGATCATATGGTATATTATACACAAAAGCATGAATTAATTCATATTTGAACTCACCGTCTCCGTAGCAGGTGATGGCAGCGTCGTAGTTGTGGTTCAAGCAGTATCTACTGGTGGCTACCTTCCACCCCTGATGTGGGCACTCGGACAGTGATCCCTCGTTGCCTGTACACTGGAATCTACTCTCGTACACGGGACCGGTGGCGTTGGGGTACTTGGTGTAGTAGTCAACCACGCCCGTATTATAGCCAAGACTTCTACACATGACCATAGCCTCCCTCCTGTCGAAGTAGGAGCGGCATACTGAACCCAACACGCCATTGACAGACACTTCCACTCGACCTGCGTTCTCAGGGCCTCCCCCGGAGAGACTGTAGTAAATACCTGCATAGACGAAATACATGTACATCACAGTCATATCCAGATGGTTGTGGCGCAGTAGAGAACTTCATGACGCTAATATACAGCTGATTGTATCACAGTAGAGACCTGCATGACGTTTATTCATATGGTTGTGTTGCAGATGAAATGCATGACAATCACACCCAGATTGTTGTGTTACAGTATAGATCTGCATTAAGTTCATATCAAGAAGGTTTTGTCGCATTAGAGGACTGTGCCGAAAACTTTGGGAAATGTAAATAATGGGATATTGAACTGACAGTGTCCCAACGTGAAGCAATTAAGCTGTTTCTTGGTCTCTGTTGCAAAGAATACATACCTTTTAAAGAAAGCAAGTAAAGGTTATTAACCATGCCGCCATGTTTTGTTTCTCACAAGCATTACTTATTATTTATAAGATGTCACATTTCTCTCCTTATACCAACTTTTCAGAAAAAAGTTTTTTTGTCTTTCGATTCCTGGACATTTACGTACCAACATTGTCTCCGCACAGCACGCCAGCAGAGTGGGAGTTCTGACAAGACGCCACTTGACCCAGCTGTGTTCGGGAGCAATCTGATAGACGGCTCTCTGTGCCGGCGCAGTTCATCTTAGACGTCCAGAAGGGGCCGTTGTCGGCGTTGTAGGAGTATTTGTAGTGGGTGTAGGCCTTGCCCTTGGTGAACCCCAGTTCTTTACACGCCACGGTGGCGTCCTTGTCGTCCCAGTCATCAGTGCAGATACGACCCACCATGTTCATGTAGTTGACGTTCACCTCGCCAGTGTAGTTGTTGCCGTCAGCCAGCGACCACGTGAAGGCTGAAAACGTAGAGAGTATTCAGCACATTTCACGATTTTATTTAATGGCCATAACAAATAGTCATATTTGGGGGACTACACAACAGCTTCAAGACAGTCGCTTCAGTCATTTTTTGAGAGGGGGCTGAAAGCTGACGGACAGCGGAAAATGCCTTGTGGATATCTTGCCCTGATGAACAAAATACAGAAAAGGGGCTCTTTTGAATACGTTTTGTAATGCTACATGATATCTGTCTTTAATATCACTGATAATTCTGATTACTGACTGGTAGCGGCAGTGCCGTTGTAGCAGGCCACGGAAGCATCAGCTCCGCTGCAGTATCTGGTATGAGAGGCGTCGGGGTGGCAGTCAATCAGCCTCGCCTCGCTTCCTCCACATTGAACATTGTCCACCACGGTATAGGACCGACTCCCGTACACTCCACAGCACAGGTTGAAGCCATTCTGATACCCAAGCTCCTTGCAGGCCACGGCTGAATGTATAGTGCTTACAATGAATCGGCAGTGGTTTTATCAAACTGGCAAATACCTGTATTTAAGGCCACATAACAAAATATTCTTGTTTCTGACCAAAAGATTGTATTTTTACAATTTACTTTATTTTATGTCCAAAACCCCTTGATTTCTGTGGAAATTTACACCTTTTCTCCAACAGAAATTCAAAACTTAGAAGTGTGATAAATTCTTGCACATTTTGATAGTCAAAGTTGCATTTTCTCCAGTGAAAAAACTATATAAAAAATAGTGTCAGGCGGTAATGAGAAACACGAATATTTTATATGTGGCCTTGGGGACATGTAATATCAGGAAGCAATAAACATAAAGTTGGCTACAGTTATCCCTCTCGTTAATGTGTGGACTAGCCAGGCGTACGCCCACGATCTTACTTTGTGCTCAACACCACTACGAAGTTTATTTACAGGAACTACCCGTGGTGATATGGATTGCATAAACACTACGTACTCTCTTGTCTTAAGTGTTTGCTAATAGTCCATAGTAGCATACACCGTCACTGATCAAGCACTGTGTTATTGTCAAGGTTATTGTCAATTTTAGATAACAATGAAATCTTAACAACTCCTCCCTCCCCTGTCTGACCGCCTCCGTGGTGTAGTGGTTAGAGCGTCCGCCCGGAGTGCGGAAGGTCGCGGGTTCGATCCCCGACCGCGTCATCCCAAAAGACGTTAAAATATGGTACTTGTTGGTCCCTGCCTGGCGCTCGGCATTAATGGGTACAAGAAGGACTGGTCGGCTCGGAGTCAGTATAATGTGTCTGAGTGGGGTATTCATGCTTCACTGCGGCATGGTATCTCAGTGGGCTAGCACTATAAAACTAGCTTCAGTCTGGGCTAGTACAAGCAGCCGCACATACAGATACACACGCATGCACGTCGTCATGTGAGCGAAATATTCTCAAGCACGACGTTAAACCCAATTCCACCACCACCACCACCACTACCTCCCCTGTCTACAAAAAAATAGTTTAGTTATAGTTACGGACCCCTCCATACCTGTATTAAGCTTATTTTTATTTTCCTACCTCGTTTTAAAACAAGATATCATAATATGCCATAGATGTACTTAATTAATAACGGTCACTCACAAACATCAGTGTCGCTCCACCCATTGCTGCAGACGCTGCCCCAGTTCGTGTTGTAGTACACCTCGACCGCACCCATGGAGATCTGGTTGCCGCGCGTCAGTCGGACTGAAATACACGTTTACCATAAAACATTCTCTCATACATTACCGCCATATACACGGTTAAAAAAGAATGTCAGCCAACAAGAGAATGATTGAATAATTGCATAAACTTCAGTTTCATGTACTTTTATAATTATATTGAACTTAATTATTCCTCTCTGATCGTTTGGTATTTGCAGCACATTTTTTAACAGTTCATATTATTTGTCACATTTGTTTTCAAGAGGGATAATATATATACTTGTGTTATAGCAGACGACTCCGGCGTCCCTAGTACATCCCCATCTGTAGTTCCAATAACTGGGGCAGTCAAACAAAGATGCTTCTGAACCGCTGCATCTCACATAGTTCATCCACACTTTAGTGTTGTTGTTTCTGTCTACTGGTCTCGAACTCCCATCCTTAAACCCAAGTTGACGGCAGACGACCTTAGCGTCCACGTCGCTCCAGGACCAACCGCATACACGCCCATAAACGCCATTGTAGTTGATCTCAACACGACCGTAGTTCGACCCTCCATCAGCCAACCTCACAGAGGCGCCTGGAAAACAAAAGCAAAGGCCGCTGACCGTTATCGTTCATATGATGACAGTACGAAATGCATTTTAGTGAAGATAGCAACAGATGAGAAATTAATATGAGAGAAAATGGCGACCATTCTTGCCAGGTTATACCATGTAACAGAAAGCAGAACAGAATACTGAACCTTAGTAAAACAGCAGTAAAACGTTAACCATGCAGGGTAACAGTGCGAATTATTTACCACGCCTTTGCATGTGTTTGCAACCTGTGCCACTGGTGAAGCAGGATACGCTCATTCATTACAATGCATGATATTGTATATAAATGGTATTTAAGCATACACACATATGCATATTATAATGCATGTCGAAATCGTACACTGGATTCTGCATTTAGCAGAAACGTCTTAGGAGTATGGTTCTGTCGCTCTATCAACATTCAAGAGCAGAGTCATAATGTTCACCTTGTCAGTCACTACAGTGTGAAGAACATATCTTACCGTTTTCAGTTGTATAGCAGAGGACTCCAGCGGTCTGTCTATAGCTTCTCGCCTGAGAGTTGCAACCGAGGTCAACTTTGTCGTCAAGGTCACTGTAGGAACAGCTGGTCAAATTACCCTCTCGACCTTGACAGTTGAACTTCCCAACCAACAATGGGAGCCGATGTATAGATTTGGCCACTGAAGGTAACGCCACCAACAAATCCCATGGAACGGCATGCAACATCGGCGTCTTTGTTGTTCCAGCCAACGTTGCAAACAGGTCCCCAGAATCCATACCGATTAACCTCAATGGAGCCATAGTCCTTGGAACTATCTCGAAGACGGACAGCCAAATCTGGAAAGTTGAGGAATGAGAGGAGTGACTTAAAGTGACCTGACCAGAACTTGAAACAAAGAAGCACATCCTGTATTATAGTTTCAGTATTTAACACAATGAATTTCCCTTGTCGTACATGAAAACATGACATTCCTTTCAATATGGGCAATTATGGAACTGCTTTCTAAACATAACACCATGCATTCAGGAAGATCCAAGTTTCTTCACGCCATTAGTACACCTGTACCTGAAAGTGTCCTCTGCCATAGCAAAACACGTGTTTAGTTCTGGAAATATATTTAAGTCAATATTTAATACAATGAATTTCCGTTGTCTTAGATCAAAACATTATCTTCCTTTTCATTATGGACAATTCTGGAACTGCTTTCTAAATATAACACTATGAGGGGGATTCAGGTTTCTTCACGCCATTAGTACACCTGTACCTGAAAGTGTCCTCCGCCATAACAAAACACGTGTTTAGTTCTGGAAATAAAGCCTTCTAGTGGCCCACAAAGACCAATGTTAGGAGACAAATTATAATGGAATGACATGCAACAGTAGTTACCGTTAGCGTGTATGCCGTTGTAGGAGCAGTAGACGGTGGCGTATTTGCCGGTAGTGCAGCTGCCAAACGCAAGGTTACAGCTGAGGAGGTCTGATTCAGAGCCAGTGCAACCGTTGACGGTGACGGTGATGGTGGAGGCGTCGACATTCCCGACTGCGTTGCAGCACTGAGCCTTGCCGTCAGCGTAGCCTAGTTTCCTGCAAACAACGCGGGCAGCTGCATTGTCGAAGTTGTGGTCACAGACGGCGGACCATTGGTTGTTCCTGTACACTTCGACACGGCCGTAGTTGACGGTGGCGGCTCCCATAAGACGGACTGGGGTGAAGACAAAATTGGGCTCAACAAAACCATAAATTGTTCTGTTTATACTGCGTGTATTCATTTACGTATAGTAAACAATGTTCACCTGAACCAAAACATCCATGACAAAGGTGTTACTACCCATAACGTTTATTCAGTTCAATAAAGCGCACTCACCGTTGTCATAACACATGACATCGTTATCCTTCTGGTGGTTAGAACAGCCATAGTAGCTCTGCCTCCACAAAGACGTACACTGTGAGATAGATCTTTCCGTTCCTTGGCAGTACAGACGGCTAAGATAGACAGGACCACTGCCGGGGCCAAATGACCCCAGACCCATGTGACGACCTGTTGTGTAGTTGAGCATGCGGCAGATAACATCGGCGTTCTTGTCTGTGTAGTATGTTCCGGAGTATAATGTGCACATGGTACCCCAGGACCCGTCCACGCTCAGCTCGACCCGACCTGCAGACCCTGTCTTATTTCCTAGGCGCACCTGGAGACCTTTAGGACAAATTATTCTGAGCATCACTGTTTGAAACAAGCTTACAGTAAAAGTTTATCCATATGCGATGACGTTACAACAAAGAGGTAGTAGTCGTGGCACCATATTACTGGAATCTTGCTGAGAGCGGCGTAATATCTTGCTCACTCACTCTATTTAATATAATTGCATGTACACTAAAACCTACCAGTACCACAAGTACATCCATTTTGGCTGTCATGTTTTTATATAGTAATAGTCCCAGACCTTCTCACATAACATACTGATGTCAATACACACCACTAGTTTGGTAGCAGTAGACAGCCGCGTCCCCGCTGGAAGAACAGTTAGCAGTGTCGCCGAACCTAACACCAGCACAGTTGGAGAGGTAGGTTTCTGTGCCGTCACAGTTGATATTAGATAACCATCTCATTGTTGAACTAGAGTAGAAGGAGTAGTATCGGTGGTAGTAGGTGTAAGCAAAGCCGCCGGTGAATCCCTTTTCTCGGCAAATCACCATGGCCTCTCTGTCGTCGAACCCGTCGGGGCAAATGTAGCCATTGATGCCCATGTGACGGATCGTGATGCGGCCCTGGTACGTGCTTTGTATGGTCATGGTGTATCCTGTAGGGAAACAGTGTATTGTCATTAAGTATACATGGTATCTATATGTGTTTAAAAGCAGCAGAGTTAACTTCAGGGGTATTCTATTCTAACAAAACTTCCGGCAAAGTGACTTGTGAAGTTTGTAAATATTGAGTTTCATGCACGTTTTTGGCAGTGTTGTTCAAACGACTGTCCAAAACCATCAGATATGGTACTATCCTATATTATGTTATAAATACAATACGTGGTTACTGACCTGACCGAGGGTTGGTGTTGGAGCAGGCCGCCGAGGCGTACTTCCTACTGGGGCAGTAGGTCATGCTGATGGCATGGGGGCAGTCTCTGAAGCGAGTCTCGCGGCCGGTACAGCGGACGTTCGTGAAGCCAATACCATACGACTGCCTGCCGAAGGCTGAGGCACCGACACTGACGCCGTACTGGTAGCCAATCTCGTTGCACACAACCTTGGCGTCGATGTCGTTGAAGTTGTCTGCACACACTGTCTGGTAGCTGCTGGTGCCGTCGTACACCTGAACAGCGCCATACTGCCTGTTTGGTTTGAGGCGAACTGAGAAATGAAAACAAGTTCAGTACCCGTGCCAGAAAATGTACGCCAGGGTCTTCAATTTCAAAAACATTTTATAAACTTAATCATGTTCACAAATAAACACCATTGATAACCATATGCAAAAGTAGCACCACCGACTTTGCCTCACTTGCATATGTAGTAAAATGCTTAAAATCTCAACAAAGACACCAATTCCGGAAAGTTGTTGTCAGTGTAGATATTCTGACATCTTCTACATAAATACGGAGTATAAACAGTAACTCTAAATTTTACGAGATATGCAAATGTAGCAAAATACATGTACACAATTTTACACATTCAAGTGCCATGAACAGCTGTTTTAGTAAGTGTGTGGTGGTCGTATTGCAATTGGGAACCTCTTGAACATCCATTGATGTGGGAGGAGAGGTGAAGATGTTTACAATTCGAGATCTATGTCATGAGATAATTCAGGCACTACAGATTTCAAGTTGACCAAACGGACAGCAATTGGTCAACATTAGACATTCTAGTCAAGAGTATATTAATTAATTAACTGAAGTTCTGTCGGTAACTAAATGGAGGAATTACTGGTATAATATGGTCCGAAATGGTATCCCGAGCCCGTGACATATTGTACATAGCAAAAACAAGACATTTTAAATGTCTGAAAACCAAAGCATTTACGTTGAGTCCCACTACAAAAATATATACTATAACTGTGATAGAAACAGCTGGGTAGAGGTCAAAACGAGGCCAGGCCAGGTGCTCCTGGTAACCATATTTAACTTGATTGAATTGGGATGCCATCATTGGTGGGAACAAGTGTATGGAATTTCATCTATTTAGGACAATTGAGTTCTAATGGGACTTCAAGTCAACTGAGCCCAAAACCCACATGGTTTATGCAGGTAGACTACATAAATAAGATCCCTGGTTGAAGTTAAGATGTACTTAAAGATTTCATAATGTTTGCTACTTCCATTACCGTCACCGAAATGCTGCAGCACATAAGGTGACATTTAATTTAACTCCAGTACAATACTGAAATATAGTTAAATATGTAAATACGTACCATAGCTTTATTTGCTTGAGAACACGCAGACATTTTATCAATAAAAATAATATTCGTTATGTTGGCCAAAACATATAGTCAGTCGCAATATACTTGTGTCACGATGATAATGAATAATCGTATTTATATATGTCTCAACTAGACTAGTACGACTGTCAGTCCACATACTTACCTAGACCAGAACACTGCACACCAACGTCGTATCGATGCCCGCTGCAGGGGTACCTGTTGGTAACGTTGAACCCACTAGATCGACAGTTCCATAGCGCCTTCTCTGTACCTGAGCAGGACGGATAGTACAACCATACCGGCCCAGTCCCTCTGCCGTATGTGCTGGTGCTCCGACTTGAGCCGTCGGGGTAGCCTAAGGTCTTACATATGACGCGTGCGCTGCCGGAGCTGAGGCTGTAACCACAGACGCTGCCCCACACACCGCCGATCTGGACCTCGACGCGCCCAGCATTGTTGGATATTTGGCCGTTTTTTATAAGGCGGAGGTTCACCCCTACAAATACGTATAAGTGTAGTCATTTAAGTGTTTGGTTTAGGTGCGTGTACGAATATGGTTATACAAATCGATAATTTAACAGTCATGCAATGTTGAAGCTTCCCTCCTATAGTTTACCTGTATTGTCGTTGTAGCAATAGACGTATGCTGCCTTTGAATATGACGAACTGCAGGAAGACGGAAGGTTTGTAGAAACGGCGCAGTCCTGAAGCCTCGTCTCGTTGCCGATGCAGTTAGTCAACAACAAACGGGGAGGGCTGTTGTAAGCGTAGCCCACGGCGCCAAACGCCACACCCGACACGTATCCCTTAGACCTGCACACCACCCTAGCTTCCTCGTCTCCCCATCCGCTATTGCACACAGTGGCATTCAGGCCCATCTTCCGAACCCTGACCATCGAGGGGAAGGTTGTGTCAAGGATCACCTCAAAGTCTGACAAAGGGAAAGGGTATATTAAGGAATCTTTTTAATCTTCTAAAATGTTAATTCCACAATGTTGCAACCAATTGTCTTTCTTACCATTTCATAGAAATCCCTTGATGCGGAGGAAACGTATGCAAAAGATGTGCTTTCTCATTTCATTTTGAACACAAATATATATATATATATATATATACGCACAAAATGTCCAAAGTAGTACAGGTGTTCAGTCATAAATATTGCATAGATAAATAAAAACAGAATGCCTTTTTCTCCAAAATGTTTCGTTCTTTACTCTGTTTGATTCTTTACACAATCTCCCTGAAGAGTAAAGAACGAAACATGTTGGAGAAAAAAGGCATTCTGTTTTTATTTATCTATGCATATATATATATATATATATATATATATATATATATATATATATTGACAGTGTGAAACCGTTAGAATTGAAGAAATTATTGTACTAAGGATCTTCAGACTTTTGTCTTTTGTGTGTGTGTGTGTGTATATATATATATATATATATGACGACGACACACATTCTACGCTATTCGTCGCCTATGACGACACTTCATTGTACGGGGTCACCTGAAGAGCCGTTGTACGGCGAAAGATCTTGTGCAGATAAAGGAGTTTTGGCAAGAAGAAATCTCTGGACTCATCTATATATATATATATATTTGTGTTCAAAATGAAATGAGAAAGCACAATCTCCCTCAAGAGTAAAGAACGAAACATGTTGGAGNTTTACAATTTATCATTAAAAAAGGCATTCTGTTTTTATTTATCTACGTGATATTAATGACTGAGCACCTGTACTATTTTGGACATTTTGTGCGTATACACACACACACACACACACACACACACTGTGGTGCTGTGGGGTAATAGGACCATGACTCACCGTTGGTTATAGGTTGCTTAGAGCAGATGACGCTGGCGTAATTGTTGTAAGGGTAGTAGTTGATGCAGCCGCCCACTCTGAAGCCGCAGTCGGCGACTGTGCTCTCTGAGCCGGTACAGTTTACGTAGCTGATGGCAGAGGAATAATATCGCGCCCCAAACGTCCCCTTGGAAGTGAAAAGCCGTAAGGATACCCAAGTTCCCTACACACGACAGCCGCGTCGTAGTTGTCAAAGCCGCTGCCGCAGATGATGCGCCAAGTGTTGTCTTTGAAGAACTGCACAATGCCAGTGGATGCATTTGTGTTTGTAGTTCCTTGTACAAGTTTCACTGGGGACGAGAAATGGACGTGAAAAAGTTAGATCAACTCAGCTTTACTCAAATATCACAGACATAACGTTTATATTTAGGGATGGAGGAAAAGAAATGGTTTTTTGACCAGTTTGCAGGAAATTAGTTTCTACCTACACTAATTAACATACAAAATTCCCATAACATATTGTTACTTTAGTTGTATGACACTCCCAAATAGAGTATTAATTAACTGCCCCTGAGTTATACAGGTCATGGTCACTACTGTAGCCTGCGGACAACATCTGCTTTTATCCTTCCAAAGTTATCAGAATAGACTTGGATAGAAATTATATTTTTGACTTGTGGATATCTATGGCAATTAACAATGTGTGCTCAAAGGGTCGATTTGACGAAGCGTAACAATATGAGAAGTCAGATTTTCAACGTAAAGCAGATTATTTATCACGTGTTGCGTTTGCCCTGCACACAAAGTTCTGCTCGTTCGTTAAGGAAAATACAAAGGGCCTAATGACGGTTTATTGTGGCTACACTTTACTTACTGATGATAACATGTTTCGCGTTTGGAAAATGCCTTTGCATGTGCATATTGTTATCGCTTTCGGGTTGCCATGCCTTACTTTACCATAGGAACAATGTAGGATTATACGTGTAGGGTTGCAGTGGTAAGGTGTCTGCCTATCACGCTGAAGGCCCGAGTTCGATCCCCGGTGGAGGCACCTAGGTTCGGGTCCCGAGGTGGGAACATTTGCGTAGTTTCCTTGGACAAGATACTTAGATCCACATTGTCTCAGTTCACCCAGCTGTAAAATGGGTACCCGTGAGGATGTGATGGCAATGCGAGTGTTTAGTTCATTGCGCCTAACAGGCAGCATGGCGGTATGATCCCCAGGGAGTTGAAAAAGTACAGGAAAGAACGACAGTGTCCTTTGACCGGGGACAGTAATGTACGTAGCGCCGTGAGCAGGCAATGTGCCTGGATATGAGCGCCATATAAGCGAACTATTACTATTACGTTATTGCCGTCTCGGGAAATCCAAAGCGACGTCAATTGGAAACACCCTGTTTTTTCAATCTCCAACCCAAACGAGTTCTTGGTCATAGTGCCGACCTGTATCATGGCATTGTAGTTATACTGCGTAAGTTCGCTACCTTATCATACTTTAGATAGCATAGTTACACCCACCATTTCCGTAACACTGGACTCCAATATCGTAGTTGTGACTCTGACAGGAAGTCGTTTGGACACCCAACCCATAATTGGGACACTGGAAGACGCTTGTCTCGTACCCGTAACAGTAGGGGTTGGAGAGGAACACCTGTCCGCTTCCAGGGCCAAAGGAGCTGTTCAAAATAAGAGTGAGTGAGTTTAGTTTAGCATGAGCATTGAGCACCTTCACGGGTATCAAAATAAGAAGCACCCTATTGTGAGAAGGGCAAAATTACGAAAAGTAGCCTCTATCAAATTATCCACGTTCTAACTATCAATATTATCATGATCATAAATGTGTACGGCCTTCTTCTTTGCTTTTTAACGCCACACGTGATATTCCAGATGTATGAGATAGGTGTGTAATTATTAATCGAGTCTGAAGCCGACAATCAGTGACTGACACTGATCTGGCACTTGGGATGCAATCACCACCCTGTCATGTCTAACGCAGGTTTAAAGAACAGGAATCGGGATATAGCTGACGGAAGGATTCTGTATCTGTGAGGGTCATTTGTGAGATAAGTATCTACATGGTCTTTCTATTTGTCTTATTTATCCGTTACTGAAAGGTACTAGATCTACCTTCAGCGTTCAAAAACAAAAACGCGTCTCCCTTGTGTCGCTGCATGTGGGACATCTTACAACAAGATTAGCTTACCGTTGATAAAGGTCAATTATTCTAGATGGCAGGGGACTGCATTGCTGCTAAACACCATCAGTTACACACACATATATCAACACATATCAACACAAATTACATAAGTTGCCAGCTTGAATGGCAATCGTTCATTTGTTTTCTGAACACAGAAGCTATGGCAAGGTTAACGAGAGACTGACGACAACAAGCCATTGGACGTTTAGACGCTGGCCAACGTGCTCGAGTCGTTGCTAATGTATTCAATTGCAGCGTACGAACGATACAACGTCTTAGACAGCGATACAACGCCACCAACAGATCTGATGACCGTGCACGAAGTGGTCGACCCCGTGTAACAACACGTCGCCAGGACCGTCACATCGTCCATCAGCACCTCTCGTTAACCTAGCCATTGCTGATGTGTTCAGAAAACAGGTGAACGATTGCCATTCAAGCCGGCAATTTATGCCTGAATGCATGCATAATGCACGTGCATCTCGATTTCAATGATGTGTTTGTGCGAACTCTTCCCTTTCCACAAACAAAAACATTTGAAACCTCAATCTCAATCAATACTTTATGGGGCAATACAGGTTTTATTACAACGAGTCATATGTTCCTCAAACTTGACTTCCGGTGTATATTTAAAAAATAATAGTTCCAATACTCCATTGATACTTAAATGTCATTTCCAATATTACGAGGGGCGGTGGGTAGCCTAATGGTTAAAGCGTTGGCTCGTCACGCCGAAGACCCGGGTTCGAATCCCCACATGGGTACAATGTGTGAAGCCCATTTATGGTGTCCACCGCCGTGATGTTGCTGGAATATTGCTAAAAGCGGCGTAAAACCAAACTCAGTCAGTCCAATATTACGACGTTTCTTTTGCCTTCAGTATATATTTTCCTCATTACATTAACAACCATACCTAAATGCTAGATCACAATACAATAGTTATGGCCATTACACACTAGCTGTCAGTAGCTTCTGTTATTATATCCAAAATTATAATACAAACTACCGTCCATGCCACAACCCCGTCCCACATACCTTGACGTAATGCCGTCTTTGAAACCTAGTTGTCTACACACAGCTTTTGCGAGGTTTGAAGACCGATAACGGCTACACACGGTGCCTCGCACGCCGTTGTAGATGATTTCTACCCTCCCTGACATCGCAGTTCCTCCAACCAGTTCTACTCGGATTGCTGCAACGTAATCACCACAGGCATAGAGTTATCTGATATCTCAAATGTTGATAAAACTAACAGTAAATGTTCACGCAAATCGTCACTAAAAACGCATGGGTAAAGACCTAGATTTAGAATATGAACAAAAGAGATGATTCTCTTAAACAAATTTATATACCCTCACATTTAGACCTGAGGTGTCCGGAAACGGAATGTAGTGATGAGGGCATAAATAAATATTCTTCCCCAATAAACGGAATTCAAGATGCCCATTTGTCTTACAAAACATACATTATGAAGTGAAAGAAGGCAAGGCATTTGTTTTTATATCAAAGTGGAAACCCATTTCTGGTGTCCCCCGCCGTGATATTGCTGGAATATTGCTAAAAGCGGCGTAAAACTAAACTCAGTCAGTCAGTCAGTCAAAGTGGCAAATCGTACAACTCACGGTTGTTTCTGTAACACAATACTCCTGCATCGAGGTTAGAGTAAGTCTGAGACGTGCAGACCTCACTTCCGGTGGGACAGTTAAACAGAGAGGTCTCGTTGCCGGCGCAGTTCACCTCGGACAAAAGGAACGGTCCAAAAGCTCGTGTGTTGAACTGATAGCTGACTCCACCTGTCATACCCAGTTGGCGGCAGACGACACCCGCGTCTGTGTCATCCCAATTCACCTCGCAGATTCTCCCGGAAATTCCAGACTTGGTAACTGCGACATGCCCACTGACATCCTTATACCCGTCGGGTCCGTCAGAGAGCTTGATAGAAGAAGCTGAAAGATAAATAAGGTATCTCATCTGGGCAAATTACACTTTGGATTGAATAACCAGTCTCGAGTATCGTTTTGTGCGTAAAAGGCCTATGTGGGCATATGTGGACACCCATGTGACTGCGTTCGAACTAGGGAATGTGTTTATATTACCGAAACGGTTAACACCGTCAGCAAGCTCTCTAGGTACAGACGTCAACTGTGTGATGAATCCAGTCACGTTAGTATTCACTGCAACGACCTCGGCTCCCTGTTCGGCATCGTATATTTGACCATGTGACAATCAATCCAGTCACCTTGTGTTAGCGGCACTTGTATTAGTGATCCATTCAATGTAACTACGAAGGCTCATACGACAATGTCCTACCCGCGAACAGAATCGTAGCTTCCGTCACTTACTGGTGCTGATAGTGCCGTTGTAGCAGGAAACTGACGCATATCCGGTGTAGCCCTGTCGACTGCAGGTCCCACTCCCTAACGTGCAGTTCATGATCGATGCCTCGTTACCAGTGCAGGTGATGTTGCTGCCTAAGTAGTAGGAGGAGTAGTAGGTGCCGTAAGATCCCCTTGGTAAGGCTCGACCATTCTGGAATCCCAGCTCTCGACAGACGACTTTTGCAGCAGAGTCATCAAAGCCAGTTCCACAAAGCGGCTGCCACCGGGAGTATCTTCCCACCTGGTTCCAGAGTTGAACGGCACCATGACTGTGATCTCCTCTGTATAATCTCACTGAAACCAACGTAAAACTCACTCTTACAATTAAATCATTCATGGATACAGAGGGTATGGGTCCAAATTATCTCAGTGTAATGTCCACTGCTACTCCCTTCTTACGAAAAAAAACCCCGAATCCGTGGTTTCATTTCTGTCACAATCCACAATCCACAAACAGCTTTGAACATCTAACAAACCAGAGCTTCATTCCGGCCCATATCATATATGTCAAATTTGCTGAGATACCAATTTGTGGTTTAAAAGCAAAACAACGATAAACAACTTGTTGCTTGATGTTTAACACCGCGCTTACTGTATGAGAGGGGCCTATAAACAATCTAGCTAATACAGGAGAAACCAGTGATTGATAATCTGAGCACCTCACAACGCTGCATGCATAAACATGTGGAAAGATGTGTGCATGTATTATGTTAGTGGACAAACAAGAACGTTATCTATGCCAATTTTGGAAAGGCCATTTATAAACATTAACAGTAAGACACATTACTTTGTAAACATGTTTTTTCATTTACCTTCGTTGAAGCAGGTGACCGAAGCGTCTTTCGAGTGGTCAAGGCAGGTTGATGCAGGGTTCCTCCAGCCTCTGTTACGACAGGACCACAGCGTTCGTTCATATCCCGAACAATATAATCTATCCATAAAGATAGGGCCGCTCCCAGCCCCGTAGTAGGACGCTGTGGGTTGAAAACAAAGCCATGAATGACAGAGATTGGTCAGTGAAAAACGTGTATTATCATATTTCCATAGAAACTGGCCAATTCCACGGAACAAAGATAGAACTACAGTATATAATGTTTAGCAGGTTTAAAAGACACAGAGACGTAGCCTACCTTTCAGGTAGTTCCCGTCCCTGAAGCCTAACGTTTTACAGACCACCCTTGCATCCCCGTTGGAGAAGCTGTTGTCACAGACGGTGCCTGTCTCTCCGTCTACTGTGATTTGCACCCGGCCGTGGGTTGAATCTCCGCCAGCTAGGCTGAGTTGTGGGGGACCTGGAACGGAGTGTGTTGGCAATTAGACTCCGTGAAGACGGTGATAACATGGTACTGCTGTTTAAGGCCATATATGTAATATGTGGGATTACACTTTCTCGTAGTCTGTCTCACAGTGCCTGAACCACATTAATTTCCCTACTGCGAAGCCCTCTCTGCAGTGCTAAAGCCCTAAATAAAGCAAGTCTAGATTTCCTCAGGTTCAGGATCTCTGGTCTCCCTAGGGCTCCTTTTCAATATAAATGGGCTTGTTTGTTACTATCAAAAGTATATATATTCAGAGACTAAGCCTTAGTCTAACTTTCTCGGTAAAGTAACGATTCTAGTACTTTTGTTAGGTTGAGTCTCAAATGGGATTCAAACCCACACTCTCTTCTGAGAAATATAACATATGTTGCATTTGATATAACATATGTTGCACTTTCTAAATGACATTGTGCATTCATACTGTTGCAGGCTTAAAAAGAATAAACCCCAAAATGAGAAAATAGACTAAATCAATGACAGGGGGGAATAATCGTGTACAGATGAAATATAGTTTGTAGTACTAAAGACATAAGACGAAAATAGGTGTCTTTCTCATTAATCAAACTATAACAACAGATATATCACCACTACATCTCTCAAACTAATGTGACGGGTGAAAAGTGTCAAAACTTACTGCTTGTGTAACACAGGACATTGGCGGGATAACAGTATCTCTTTGGAACACCCCAGACGGAGGACACACACTGGTCCAGGCTCGTCTCCTGGCCGGTACAGTTCACGGATGTGATCCACACTGGTAGGTCAGACCTTGTGTACGTGGTGCCGTAGGTGACACCGCCTCTGAAGCCAAGCTGCTTGCACACAACGTTGGAGGCGTTGACGTTCCAGTTGTTGGCACAAATCTTGCCCGTTACCCCGAGATATGTAACTATAACTTGACCTGATACGCCTGTGCCATTTACAAGGCGAAGACTGAATCCTGTAAAATGAAGTGGTTGGACCAACAGGCTCCCATGGATATGTGTACATAGGTTAACAAACATTGGGTCAAGTTGAACAAATTGTTAATACACCCCCCGCCTCCATAACGCCGAGTACTGACCGCAAATGAGTGATAGTCAAAATCCTCTGAACTCGCATGACACAAATTTTAGTTGTGTTGAAAATCGCTGAAGCAACATCACTCTCACTCACGCACCAAAGCTTTCACTGGGTTATAGTTGTTTCGGGAACAATTTCAAGAAAGATGCTTTCAAACTAAAAATACCTAAGTATATAAGGCCCCCATCTTCAGCGTCTTTGCATGGTACTAGATCCAAGTGAACTGATGACAACTTACCCATCTCAACTTCACCCTTGGGTTGAGAGTAGCAGATAGCTGACGCAAATCTCTTAGAACTGCAGTCTCTGTTACGCTGCTGGTTTGTACAGTTGAAGATGTTAGCTTCAATCCCAGAGCAGTTAAAGTTGGTTCTTGAGCGGAGAGTGTACAGACGTGGGTTATAGGTGTAGGGGCTAAGTTTACTGCCAGACAATGCTGAACCATCTCGGTAACCCAGGGACCTACGGTGAAAACATATTACAGGTACGTGGCATATGATTGGCTAAACTGTTGATTTCTTTTTTCGTTTATGTTTTTATCAATCGAAAACAGAGTAGGCCAAGCCCTCTGAAATCCTTTTATTAAAGGCATGATCTGGTATTGCATTAGGGCAGAGAACGATGTCCCTGGTTCTATACTGTTGTCATTAGTACACTGAACGATGTCCCTGGTTCTATTCTGTTGTCATTAGTACCCTGAACGATGTCCCTGGTTCTATACTGTTGTCATTAGAGCAGAGAACGATGTCCCTGGTTCTATTCTGTTGTCATTAGTACACTGAACGATGTCCCTGGTTCTATACTGTTGTCATTAGAGCAGAGAACGATGTCCCTGGTTCTATACTGTTGTCATTAGAGCAGAGAACGATGTCCCTGGTTCTATTCTGTTGTCATTAGAGCAGAGAACGATGTCCCTGGTTCTATACTGTTGTCATTAGTACACTGAACGATGTCCCTGGGTCTATACTGTTGTCATTAGTACACTGAACGATGTCCCTGGTTCTAAACTGTTGTCATTAGTACACTGAACGATGTCCCTGGTTCTATACTGTTGTCATTAGAGCAGAGAACGATGTCCCTGGTTCTATACTGTTGTCATTAGTACACTGAACGATGTCCCTGGTTCTATACTGTTGTCATTAGAGCAGAGAACGATGTCCCTGGTTCTATACTGTTGTCATTAGTACACTGAACGATGTCCCTGGTTCTATACTGTTGTCATTAGTACACTGAACGATGTCCCTGGTTCTATACTGTTGTCATTAGAGCAGAGAACGATGTCCCTGGTTCTATACTGTTGTCATTAGTACACTGAACGATGTCCCTGGTTCTATACTGTTGTCATTAGAGCAGAGAACGATGAGAACGTTGTCCCTGGTTCTGAACGATGTCCCTGGTTCTATACTGTTGTCATTAGAGCAGAGAACGATGTCCCTGGTTCTATACTGTTGTCATTAGAGCAGAGAACGATGTCCCTGGTTCTATACTGTTGTCATTAGTACACTGAACGATGTCCCTGGTTCTATACTGTTGTCATTAGAGCAGAGAACGATGTCCCTGGTTCTATACTGTTGTCATTAGTGCAGAGAACGATGTCCCTGGTTCTATACTGTTGTCATTAGTACACTGAACGATGTCCCTGGTTCTATACTGTTGTCATTAGTACACTGAACGATGTCCCTGGTTCTATACTGTTGTCATTAGAGCAGAGAACCCTGGTTCTAACGTCATTGTACACTGAACCCTGGTTCTATACTCTTGTAATTAGTACACTGAACGATGTCCCTGGTTCTATACTGTTGTCATTAGTACACTGAACGATGTCCTTGGTTCTATTCTGTTGTCATTAGTGCACTGAACGTTGTCCCTGGTTCTTTTCTGTTGTCATTAGTACACTGAACGATGTCACTGGTTCTATTCTGTTGTCATTAGTACACTGAACGATGTCCCTGGTTCTATACTGTTGTCATTAGTGCACTGAACGATGTCCTTGGTTCTATTCTGTTGTCATTAGTGCACTGAACGTTGTCCCTGGTTCTATTCTGTTGTCATTAGTACACTGAACGATGTCCCTGGTTCTATTCTGTTATCATTAGTACACTGAACGATGTCCCTGGTTCTATTCTGTTATCATTAGTGCACTGAACGATGTCCCTGGTTCTATTCTGTTGTCATTAGTACACTGAACGATGTCCCTGGTTCTATACTGTTGCCATTAGTACACTGAACGATGTCCCTGGTTCTATTCTGTTATGATTAGTGCACTGAACGATGTCCCTGGTTCAATTCTGTTGTCATTAGTGCACTGAACGATGTCCCTGGTTCTATTCTGTTGTCATTAGTACACTGAACGATGTCCCTGGTTCTATTCTGTTGTCATTAGTGCGCTGAACGGTGTCCCTGGTTCTATTCTGTTGTCATTAGTACATTGAACGATGTCCCTGGTTCTATTCTGTTGTCATTAGTACACTGAACGATGTCCCTGGTTCTATTCTGTTGTCATTATTACTGATGTATATTTGGTGTATTACTTGGCTTCTATATGTTTTGAGCTTTGGCGTCCGAATGTGAAAACTGACGTGAACAAATTACGATAATCTGCAGAAAATACTGGTGTAATATCCTGAATCACAACACAGGCTAGCATTATAAACTAATAAGATGGTTAGATGAATACACTGATTATCTACCAACTGGTAGCATTAGGCTAGCATTATAAACCAATAAGATGGTTAGATGAATACACTGATTATCTACCAACTGGTGCTGAATGTATATTAGATGAGTCTCCATCAAAACCTGGACAGGTTTCTCTTCAAGCTCACCGTGTATCAAGAGCAACAGGTGAGAGCTAACTGGCTATCACTAAGTTAATTACACTCAGAATGTGAAAGGTTTCATTCACATACGCTGATGACATCCACTGGAACGTTACATCTGGTGACCAAGACATATGTACGTCAACTTCTGATATCAGGTTACATTTTGTCCTTTCATTGGGTGATTTGCTACAAATCCAGCAATGTCATTCACCTGATTGAGATGCAATAAGAAGCGTCGAAACGTTGTGTATAAAGAATAAGCACGTTGAAATCCATATGTCTTTGGTCAGTAGATCCAGCCAACTTGTGTAAATGGTTATTTCATTTTACGGTACATTCACATGAATTTTACAGTAAAATTTCGGTATATCTTAAAGCTACTAATTCTGTGGCGTTAGTGCACTGCTACCTTACGTTAACAGCAATAATTCCCGGTAAAGTTCTACAGTGTATCATATACCTGCACAACACCTTGGCATCGTTGTCGCCCCAGCCAGAGTCGCACACAGGCTTCCAGCCAGTAGTATGTCGATACTGAACAGCACCATACGATGTTGAAGGTATTCTGTACGAGCTGACCAATTCGTTGCCAACCAAACGGACTACAAAGTAGATATTCACATTACGTTCCTACTGTTTCCTATACATTGAGACACAAAGCAATTCTCTTGTATGTTTCCCGTTTGTCAGGAAGTATTATTTATCAGGAACCATTTAGATGAAACATTATTGCCAATTTCAAACCCACATCCACGGAAATACGGGGTTTTTTTTATTTGAATCAAGTTTGTGTTTGTTCGTTTATTTGTTTGTTTGTTGTATAATGCCACACTCTGCAATATTCCAGCTATATGGCGGCGGTCTGTAAACAATCGTGTCTTGACCAGACAATCCAGTGATTAACTGCATGAGCATCGATCTGCGCCACTGGGATCTGATCACATGTGTCAACCAAGTCAGCATCCGATCCCAAGAAGCATGGGTTTGCTGAAGACCAAATCTAACACGGATCAACACGGTTTGGAATCAAGTATTGCCTGAAGTTTTAACCTTTACGTTCAGATTATGATAAAGATCATAAGGATCCATGAGCGTATTATAGCATAAGGATCCTTGAGGAGGGGAATGAGTTGGGGTTGACGAGCTGTTATTGGAACCATATCAGATTGATGTGGTAGAGAAGTCCGATATGACGCAGATCTCAGAGGTTTGAAACTCACAAGCACGGGTATGGTCGTGACAAACGGAGAAACATTACAGCAGGAACCGAGATTCAATCCAAGGTCACAAATGCCGAACACTCCCAAGGTGCGCAACTCTGCACTCTGTCCCTACATGTCGAGTGAGTGGGTTTAGTTTGACGCCGCATTTGGCAATATTTCAGCAATATCGCGGCGAGGGACACCAGAAATGGGCTTCACACAATGTGCCCATGTGGGGAATCGGCGTGACGAGCGAACACCTTAATCACTAGGCTACCCCACCGCCCCCTACATGTCAAACACTAGAATCGCGGTTGTACGGTTGTATGTACTGCCCGCAGGACATTTTCAGTATCAGAAAGACGACATTGTTTAAAAAAGTTGCAAGTACATGTAGTTTGCCTTGATTGTGTTTAGTAACAGGAAATATGGACAAATTATGAAAAGGACTGGTTAATTAGTCCAGGCAAGGTAAGTGAAAACGTTATTCTACGCTTCCAGTTCGATACGTAACGGTAATACGTATGTGACTGACTGACTGAGTTTGGTTTTACGCCGCTTTTAGCAATATTCCAGCAATATCACGGCGGGGGACACCAGAAATGGGCTTCACACATTGTACCCATGTGGGGATTCGAACCCGGGTCTTCGGCTTGACGAGCCAACGCTTTCACCACTAGGCTACCCCACCGCCCTTATTACGTATGTGAACACTCCGCGATTATGTGTAACAGAAACACTCTTGATGGTTTGTTGTCACACTCAGTAATCTTCTAGCTATATGAAGGTCTTCTATAGTCATACAGCATCGGTTTGACAATCCAGTGATTGACATCATGAGCATAGATCTTAACGCAGGTGAGACGCGATGACACGCACCAGACAGGTCAGCGAGTCTGGCCACCCTTACAGTCGCCTCTTACGACAAGCAAGGAAACACTATTCCATAGCGCTAATGTAATGCGGGAATCTGTAATGCTGAGACTCACAGTTATCGTTGGAGCAAGACACCCCTGCATCTTTGTAATGGCCACCGCAGTTGTGATTGGCCCAGCCTGAGTACCGACATGTGGCGAGCGTGTTCTCATTGCCGGTACACTCAACGTTGTCCATGTAGATCATGCCGCTCCCGCCGCCGTAGTATGTTAGGGCCTTGGGAAAGGAGATAATTGCAAATATTCAGTAACGTGTACACATGTTTCGAATCAATACTGTTGTAAAACATACAGATCATGAGTGACAAGGGGCTCCTTTCACGAAGCAACATTTACTTAGGTTAACCTTAACTCCCATTCTTTAACATTGCACTAAGGTTACCTTAATGACTTACGATCACCTTAGTGCTTGTGAAAGGAGGCCTAGGCCATTTTCGGCACAATGATTTTCCCGTTTGATTGTTAGATAAAGTTTCCTGAGAGTGAGTGAGTGAGTTTAGTTTTACGCCGCACTCAGCAATATTTCAGCTATATGGCGGCGGTCTGTAAATAATCGAGTCTGGACCAGACAATCCAGGGATCAACAGCATGAACATCAATCTACGCAAATGGGAACCGATGACATGTGTCAACCAAGTCAGCGAGCCTGACCACCCGATCCCGTTAGTCGCCACTTACGACAAGCATGGGTTACTGAAGATCAATTCTAACCCGGATCTTCACGGGTCAGTTTCCTGAGAAAGTATGAAAGTGGGTGTTAAGCGTGAAAGTGAGGATATGTCTACCAACGGGTATTTGTGTATATTTCGGAAACTAGAATATGTTCATCGTGAGCACCCCACAAGCATACATATAAACATGGCAAGCACTGACGATGACACGTCAAATGTTAGAGAAGATGTTCAGAACATCTTTGTCCCCAACAAGTCAGGTCAGATATCTCGGTGTCTGCATATCTACAATGGGAATGCAGAGTAATGTTATACCTTTGTCGTTTTTTGCTCTTCCCAATTGCTTTCTGTTACTTGACTAAAATACCTACCGTTTTCCGTACTGTTTGTAATATATTAGTGACAGAAATTAACAATATTAAACATAAAAAATACCAAAATTGAGAAGCTGCCCCACGTTAAACCACTGGTTTCATGATAGTACGATAAGGCAACAAGTTTAGTCTTCGACATGACATTTATTCTGTTGGTAACTACTTTTAGTAACAAGTAGTGTGAGTGAGTTTAGTTTTACGCCGCTTTTAGCAATATTCCAGAAATATCACTGCAGGGGACACCAGAAATGATCTGCACACATTGTACCCGTGTGTGGAATCGAACCCGGGCCTTTGGCGTGATGAGCGAACGCTTAAACCACTAGACTACCCCACCGCACCTAGGTAACACGTAACATATCCCTCTTTACACATCATTCCACGTACCCTCCCCCAGCGGTATCCCAGCATCCGACAGGTGACAGTAGCATCCTTGTTCCCCCAATAATCGGAACACACTGTCCCCCATGATGCTGTCTCGTTGTTTCTGACTTCTACCCTACCATAGGTCGCAGAAGGGCCAACAATGCGGACTAAAATGCCTGAAATGAGAATTTACAAAATTAGTACCATGTGAGTTCATTAACAGGGAATATCGGCTGTCCAACTAGACCCTACAGAGTGCTGTGACAGAACCTAGAGATTGTGGGTTCGAATCCCATATACGTCCTTATATGGTTCTTGGTTTGTCAGGTCCACATTCCTTGACGTTGGTTTCAGGGCGTTGACGTTGACGCACTGGGCGTTCAGGGTTTACGTTACTCTGGGCTTACATGTTGTAAAAGCTTTGATATAGAACCGGTCTTCGGTCAGAGGAAGCCGCGGTTAGGCGTATGACTTTATGTGCTGGCGATTAGGTGCCTTACTCTGAGGGTGTGGATTCGAATCCCGGATGGGACTCAACCCAACAAAAAGTACTAGAATCTGTACTTTACTGAGGTGTTATCCCAAATATAACATACGTTACGTTTTCGGTCACTACCGGAGTTTCTCAAAATCTATTCGGTCTTTCCTTTAATATTGTTTATGAGTCACACGGGTGGGCAGAGCGAAATATACAGATGTTTTAAGCAATATAAACCCTGCTTGTTTCTCTGATGATCACTTCGTCAAATACACGAGTGAGTGAGTATGGTTTAACGCCGCTTTTAGCAATATTCCAACAACATCCCGGCGGGGGACACAAGAAATGTACCCATGTGTGGAATCGATCCCGGGTCTTCAGCGTGACGAACGAACACTTTAACCACTAGGCTACCCCACCGCCCCTTTCAAATACACGGAATTCTCAATGGTTTTATAGGCACATATATATTGCTGTCCTGTTCCTACAATGCCGCGTTATTCAGCTGGGGACACGTCAGGATGAGACAGCTGAAAGTGTGTTAACGATGCTGACTAGGCTTACTGGTTTAGTTTGTCTGTGAACAGCACATTGTACATTGTATGGCAAAATAGCCATGATATGTCAGGGTGAAGGCGATGCAAAAGGGGTACGCTTTGCCATGTATGAACTTGTGTCTGCTACGGCAGTTACTGTGGCTCATATATGTCACACAAACTACCGGTGATTGTTGTAACTCGACACGGCCTGCATAATGTCCAACACACCCCCATGTGGGGAAACCTGATATGGTCATAGTGATCACAGAGGCGTCCACACAGGTGTGGGGGATCACAAAATACGGGGGATCACATAGGTACGGGGGTCACACACATACGGGGGATCACACAGGTACGGGGGATCACACAGGTACGGGGTTCACACAGGTACGGGGGATCACACAGGTACGGGGTTCACACAGGTACGGGGGATCACACAGTACGGGGGTCACACACATACGGGGGATCACACACGCACGGGGATCACACAGGTACGGGGGATCACACAGGTACGGGGGTCACACAAATACGGGGGATCACACACGTACGGGGATCACACAAGTACGGGAGATCACACAAGTGCGGATTTACAGTGTCAGGCAACAGCAAACAAGGTATTGTTAATTCTATTCTTTGATAAAGACTAGAAGGCATCACTTCAGTTGTGGCAAGAACTTGTCTTAGTCGAACAAGTGGGGAAGATATGGAGAGATATAGATGGAGAAAGTACATGGGTTAACTCGAGTGTTGACAAATGTGCATGGTGTACTCCCTAACCTACCCCTGCCCCGACCCCGACTATCCTTCTTAACATCATTACACGTCAACCGTGGGGTTATGACAAAGTATATACCACTAAATATACGTTAAGTCCGTCAACAAGTTATACATATATACACGCTAAAATGTGATTGTTACAGATACATTAAAGCGACCCTCTACCCGGCCATGTATCGTATTTCCCTAACACTCCTTTGTGAAACTGTTATGCTCATGAGCCGGATAACAAGTACAATCTCGTGTACTCGGAGGGGCGTGGCTTGTGGCTAGTCATTCAGATTCCAATGAGTGAGTGAGTGATGGGTTGGATTTAACGCCGCATATAACACTCTTCCAGTCACATCACTCCAGCTTACATAAGTGTGTTAGGCAGGTTTACCACTTTCTTAAAACTAACGAGTGCTAAAAACTCCAAAAACATAATGGGGACGGACTGGACAAGGACATCGGTTACCTCGTTATTTCTGGTCAGTGTCCAGCAGTGCAAGCCTATTCACATGATTACGACGGAGTGGCTGGGTGACTGGTTAATTGGATGGGAAGGGTGGTGACCGGTTGCCTGGAGGGACAAAACGGTGACGGTGGTGACCGGTTAAATGGAGGGACAAAACGGTGACAGTGGTGACCGGTTAACTGGGGGGACAAAACGGTGACAGTGGTGACCGGTAACTGGAGGGACAAAACGGTGACAGTGGTGACCGGTTAACTGGAGGGACAAAACGGTGGCAGTGGTGACCAGTTAACTGGAGGGACAAAACGGTAGTGACCGGTTAACTGGAGGGACAAAACGGTGACAGTGGTGACCGATTAACTGGAGGGACAATACGGTGATGGTGGTGACCGGTTAACTGGAGTGGTGGAGAGACAAAACGGTAGCGGTGGTGAGTGGTGACCGGTTAACTGGAGGGACAAAACGGTGGTGACCGGTTAACTGGAGGGACAAAACGGTGACAGTGGTGACCGGTTAACTGGAGGGACAAAACGGTGACAGTGGTGACCGGTTAACTGGAGGGACAAAACGGCGACAGTGGTGACCAGTTAACTGGAGGGACAAAACGGTGGTGACCGGTTAACTAGAGGGACAAAACGGTGACGGTGGTGGTGACCGGTTAACTGGAGGGACAAAAACGGTGACAGTGGTGACCGGTTAACTGGAGGGACAAAACGGTGAGAGTGGTGACGGGTTAACTGGAGGGACGGTGGCCGGTGGTGACGGTTAACTGGAGGGACAAAACGGTGTCAGTGGTGGCGGTTAACTGGAGAGGACAATACGGTGAGAGTGGTGACCGGTTAACTGGAGGGACAAAACGGTGGTGACGGTTAACTGGAGGGACAAAACGGTGACGGTTAAGTGGTGACGGTTAACTGGACCGGACAAAACGGTGACGGTGGTGACCGGTTAACTGGAGGGACAAAACGGCGACAGTGGTGAGTGGTGACCGGTTAACTGGAGGGACAAAACGGTGGTGACCGTTAACTGGAGGGGACGGTTAAAAACGCGGTACGGTGGTGACGGTTAACTGGATGGACAAAGCGGTGTCAGTGGTGACCGGTTAACTGGAGGGACAAAACGGTGACGGTGGTGACCGGTTAACTGGATGGACAAAACAAAGTGGTGGCCGGTTAACTGAGGAGTGGTGGACCGGTTAACTGGAGGGACAAAACGGTGACAGTGGTGACCGGTTAACTGGAGGGACAAAAGCGGTGACAGTGGTGACCGGTTAACTGGAGGACAAAACGGTGGTGGTGACCGGTGGTGAGTGGTGACCGGTTAACTGGAGGACAAAACGGTGACAGTGGTGACCGGTTAACTGGACAAAACGGGACAAAACGGTAACTGGTGGTGACCGGTTAACTGGAGGGACAAAACGGTTAACTGGAGGACGGTGGTGACCGGTTAACTGGAGGGACAAAACGTGGTGACGGTGGTGACCGGTTAACTGGAGGACAAAACGGTGGTGACCGTGGTGACCGGACAAACTGGGACCGGTTAACTGGGACAAAACGGAGTGGTGACGGTTAACTGGAGGACAAAACGGTGGTGACCGGTTAACTGGAGAGGACAAAACGGTGACAGTGGTGACCGGTTAACTGGAGGACAAAACGGTGACAGTGGTGACCGGTTAACTGGACAACAACACAGTGGTGACCGGTTAACTGGAGGACAAAACGGTGGTGACCGGTTAACTGGAGGACAAAACGGTGACGGTGGGTGGAAGGACCGGTTAACTGGAGAGGACAAAACGGTGATGGTGGTGACCGGTTAACTGGAGAGACAAAACAGTGATGACTGGTTAACTGGAGGGACAAAACGGTGAGAGTGGTGACCGGTTAACTGGAGGGACAAAACGGTGGTGACCGGTTAACTAGAGGGACAAAACGGCGACAGTGGTGACCAGTTAACTGGAGGGACAAAACGGTGGTGACCGGTTTAACTAGAGGGACAAAACGGTGACAATGGTGACCGATTAACTGGAGGGACAAAACGGTGATGGTGGTGACCGGTTAACTGGAGAGACAACACAGTGGTGACCGGTTAACTGGAGGGACAAAACGGTGAGAGTGGTGACGGGTTAACTGGAGGGACAAAACGGTGACGGTGGTGACCGGTTAACTGGATGGACAAAACGGTGTCAGTGGTGGCCGGTTAACTGGAGGGACAATACGGTGACGGTGGTGACCGGTTAACTGGATGGACAAAACGGTGTCAGTGGTGGCCGGTTAACTGGAGGGACAAAACGATGAGAGTGGTGGCCGGTTAACTGGAGGGACAAAACGGTGAGAGTGGTGACCGGTTAACTGGAGGGACAAAACGGTGACGGTGGTGACCGGTTAACTGGAGGGACAAAACGGTGACGAGGTAACTGGTAAAGTGGACGTGCATACAGAAGCATATTTATAAATGGTTATATCTAAATCTTCGTCGTTTTACAGACAGTTTACAGTGCGATTCCTGTGCAATTGTAAAGTTGGACTTACTGCTTGGTCGCTGTGCGTTAATACTGGCCACAATGGCCAGTGTTAGAACCAGACACAGAAGGTGGTCCATCTCAGACCATGTGTACACTCCGACGGCGCTCACCTCTCTACCTTATCGACGATGTCTCACTGACGGTAAAGATGCGTGTGATCACATGTAATGTACGCCCCCTACTTAATAATCATCCACTACTCTCTATGAAGTACCACCCCGTGTCCAACACTAATGTGCCACACCATCCTCACCGAATCAAATGTCAAAGGTGTTGTGATATATATTTCATAACATATGAGTATCGATGTCTACAAATTGGTTCAAACAGGATAAGCAGCCAAGAATCTATTTAATAAGTGATCTCGCAGTGACTGAAGAACACACACGAGTAGGACATTAATAAGACCTACGATAAGCAATAACCTATCGCGCACTTACACTTGGATTCGTTCGAAAACACATATAACTGATGCGCCTCGCTGTCAGAAGATCAAAACCTACAGTAGACACAAATCATGCAAGATCATGCATATGCCCATTTCACAACTATCAAATCCCGTACTGTACTCTGCACGGTGTTAAGTTACATTGTGGTCTACTTTGCACAGACAAGATGGACGAAAAGGACGAGAATTAATTTGCGTATTTTACATTAAGTGTGTTCATTTCACTCCACTATAAAATGTGTATCGTCAGATGAAATTGAAAATCTCATGAATGACAATTATACCAGACTTAAAACTACAAACATAGTTACTGGGTGACAATGGTCTTGATGACACATACAGATCAGGCGGCCCTGACCTACACATATTTCATCACAGTCAGGGGTGTGTCACAATACATGTCAGTGGCACGCGTCCACAACGGAGGACCTCAAACATATCATGTCCTGTCAATACCTATAGTTGGAAATGGAAAGGAAAACACACATAGAAATTATCTTATCTTATCAAGGTCAGTTTTGGGGAAAGCCAAAGGAAAACACACATTTAGATGGTCCTATCTTATCAAGGTCCGTTTTGGGGAAAGCCAAAGGAAAACACACATATAGATGGTCCTATCTAATCAATGTCAGTGATTGGGAAAGCCAAAGGAAAACACACATAGAGGTGGTCCTATCTTATCAATGTCCGTGATTGGGAAAGCCAAAGGAAGACTCACATAGAGGTGGTCTTATCTGTCTTATCAATGTCCTATCTTATCAATGTCCGTTTTGGGAAAGCCAAAGGAAAACACACATAGAGATGGTCCTATCTTATCAATGTCAGTGATTGGGAAAGCCAAAGGAAAACTCACATAGAGGTGGTCCTATCTTATCAATGTCAGTGATTGGGAAAGCCAAAGGAAAACACACATAGAGATGGTCCTATCTTATCATTGTCAGTGATTGGGAAACCTAAAGGAAGACTCACGTAGAGGTGGTCCTATCTTATCAATGTCAGTGATTGGGAAAGCCAAAGGAAGACTCACGTAGAGGTGGTCCTATCTTATCAATGTCAGTGATTGGGAAAGCCAAAGGAAGACTCACATAGAGGTGGTCCTATCTTATCAATGTCAGTGATTGGGAAATCTTATCAAAAGGAAGACTCACATAGAGAGATGGTCCTATCTTATCAATGTCCGTGATTGGGAAAGCCAAAGGAAGACTCACATAGAGGTGGTCCTATCTTATCAAGGTCAGTTTTTGGGAAAGCCAAAGGAAAACACACATAGAGATGGTCCTATCTTATCAATGTCAGTGATTGGGAAAGCCAAAGGAAAACACACATAGAGATGGTCCTATCTTATCAAGGTCAGTTTTTGGGAAAGCCAAAGGAAAACACACATAGAGATGGTCCTATCTTATCAATGTCAGTGATTGGGAAAGCCAAAGGAAAACACACATAGAGATGGTCCTATCTTATCAAGGTCAGTTTTGGGGAAAGCCAAAGGAAAACACACATAGAGATGGTCCTATATCTAATCAATGTCAGTGATTGGGAAAGCCAAAGGAAAACACACATAGAGATGGTCCTATCTTATCAAGGTCAGTTTTGGGGAAAGCCAAAGGAAAACACACATAGAGATGGTCCTATCTTATCAATGTCAGTGATTGGGAAAGCCAAAGGAAAACACACATAGAGATGGTCCTGTCTTATCAATGTCAGTGATTGGGAAAGCCAAAGGAAAACACACATAGAGATGGTCCTATCTTATCAATGTCAGTGATTGGGAAAGCCAAAGGAAAACACACATAGAGATGGTCCTGTCTTATCAATGTCAGTGATTGGGAAAGCCAAAGGAAAACACACATAGAGATGGTCCTGTCTTATCAAGGTCCGTGATTGGGAAAGCCAAAGGAAAACACACATAGAGATGGTCCTATCTTATCAAGGTCCGTGATTGGGAAAGCCAAAGGAAAACACACATAGAGATGGTCCTATCTTATCAATGTCAGTGATTGGGAAAGCCAAAGGAAAACACACATAGAGATGGTCCTGTCTTATCAAGGTCAGTGATTGGGAAAGCCAAAGGAAAACACACATAGAGATGGTCCTATCTTATCAATGTCAGTGATTGGGAAAGCCAAAGAAAGACTCACATAAAGATGGTCCTGTCTTATCAATGTCAGTGATTGGGAAAGCCAAAGGAAAACACACATAGAGATGGTCCTATCTTATCAATGTCCGTGATTGGGAAAGCCAAAGGAAAACACACATAGAGATGGTCCTATCTTATCAATGTCAGTGATTGGGAAAGCCAAAGGAAAACACACATAGAGATGGTCCTATCTTATCAATGTCAGTGATTGGGAAAGCCAAAGGAAAACACACATAGAGGTGGTCCTATCTTATCAAGGTCAGTGATTGGGAAAGCCAAAGGAAAACACACATAGAGATGGTCCTATCTTATCAATGTCAGTGATTGGGAAAGCCAAAGGAAAACACACATAGAGATGGTCCTATCTTATCAATGTCCGTGATGATTGGGAAAGCCAAAGGAAAACACACATAGAGATGGCCCCATCTTACCAAGGTCCGTGATTGGGAAAGCCAAAGAAAACACACATAGAGTTGGTCCTATCTTATCAAGGTCCGTGATTGGGAAAGCCAAAGGAAAACACACATAGAGATGGTCCTGTCTTATCAATGTCAGTGATTGGGAAAGCCAAACGAAAACACACATAGAGGTGGTTAACAAAAATAGCTCAACATAGTAATAGGTTGATATTTCCATATTTACCTTGTGTGGTACGTCGGATTACCCATTTTCTTAAATGGGTTTAATGATACCTGTTGACCACGATTGACTGCTTTCAGTAGTTTTATAATACAACAACGATTCCGGACAAAGTCGGCCATTACAAATGAAACTCTCTGGGTCTGATGGGCATGTTCTGCATGTGTCATGATATAAATATGAATCGCCATTGTCCATACCAGAGAAGTGTGTAGACACTACATGATAGCCTTAATTTGTTAGTGTGGGTTAATTGTGTAGTCGTTCACATACTTTCCTGTTGAGATAATATTTTAAAAAATTAGGACCTATCAAGTTTCAGATGGTGTCTTGTGTGAATTAGCTGATTTCCATGCAGATCCGGGTTTAGGTCATGTGTTGAGGAAAGTGGACACAACGACGTGTGTGAATATGAGACGAGTAATGTATAGTATATCACGTACCGGTACATGCATATACAGTGAAACCCAGCCCACTTGAACTAACTCACCTTGATTTATCCCTTTAGGCCCCTGCAGACTCGTTATCAATCTGAGATTGATGTTGCCTCGAACTACGGACATCACGACAAATGTTTGATGGTCCCAATGAATTCGATTTAAGCAGTGTGTGTGTTTTGTTTTTGTTTTTTTTTGTTTGTGTGGGTTTTTTTTGTTTTGTTTGTGTGTTTTTTGGGTTTTTGTTTGTTTGTTTTGTGGGTTTTGTGTGTTTGTTTTGTTTGTTTTGTTTTGTTTGTTTGTTGTTGGTTTTTTGGGGGTAGGGGGGGTGTTATAGTTTTAGGTTTTTTGTTTGTTGGGTGATTAACGCCACAATATTTGAGCTATATGACGGTTACGTGTACATAATTCAGCCAGGACCATACAAAACTGATTTATTTTACAGCTATTTTAGGGACCAAGTTAAAACATGAGGCGGTGCTCGGTTTATGGTCATGTTGTCATGGAATGTAGTCAAAGTCCCATGTGTGGAACTGAGCTGTATTAACTGCACCGTGTTGTGAATGGCAGCGTGTGAAGACGGAAGATTGCCTTTCACTCACTTTCTTGTTTATGTTATACAGTTTTGTGGGCAACAGTATTATTCATGGTATTTTCTCTGCCGGTGGGGTGGTGGGGTAGCCCAGTGGTTAAAGCGTTCGCTCGTCACGCTGAAGACCCGGGTTCGATTCCCTACTTGGGTAGAATGCGTGAAGCCCATTTCTGGTGTCCCCCGCCGTGATATTGCTGGAATCTTGCTAAAAGCGGCATACACCCAACTCACTCACTCACTCTGTGCCTGTTCTCAGTGTAGGCCACGTTGATGAATATGCAGATCACGTGCATTTCATGTTAATGGGAATGTTTGTTGTAATAGTGAGGATTTTGATTGGCTGATTGGATCATCTGCTTCAATAAGATTATAGCTCGTGTCTTGTGGTTGCCATTGCATTTTGAGAGCTGAACATGTGAGTTCGAGCTGGAGAAGTCACCAGGTGTATCATCAGGTTGCCGTCGTGCAGAGATATAAAGGAGTCGCTTTGTCTTATAGAGGGGGTATATTTCCTCTGATAATCTGCTTCTTGGAAATAAACGGATTCACCCCCCACAGCCAGTCGTGTTTTCTCGGCGTCAGCTGTAACGAAAGTTCTGTGCCAGGGTTGGTCAGATCGGTGCATGGGAACTATATGTTAGTTTTGAAATTAGATCAGTTGGGAGCTACGAAACATGTTCAGGTGATAAACAGGTGTCACCGTGGCTCCAGAATGAGACAATACTCTTTACTGCTACTTTTAACCATAGCTAAACAACTTTTCAAATTAACAAAATACATTGGAAATCCTCAACAAATATAATCAAATGCCAACATAACCGACATTCGCTTAAAACCACAAACGATACAATACTGCCACCAATCATCAATATTTTTTATAATCTTTTTATGACTTATATATTATGTTCTTTCTTATTTTACCTCTAAACAATAACACAACATAATCACCGTTATATAGATGTCACTGCTTCATTGACGTTGTGAACAGAGGCCCACAGTGATATGGAACGACGCCACCACCAAAGCCACCCGTTCCATCATGTCGACTCGTGGGGACCCTTGGTCGGAATTTCATCACAAGCATTCCTGGTGTCCCCGTAGTGGTTAGGGCGTCCGCCCGGACAGCGGAAGGTTGCGGGTTCGATCCCCGACCGCGTCATACCAAAAGACGTTAAAATATGGTACTTGTTGGTCCCTGCCTGGCCCCGCAACGTGATATTGCTGGCTTCACTGCGGCATGGTATATTGCACTATAAAACCAGCGGCGCGAAATATTCTCCATACCTCACGTGATCACTGCTAAAAAGCGGCGTAAAACCATATTCACTCACCCACTCATCACAAGCAGCCTGTGTTAAAGTGAAAGCCTCTAAATGAATCGGTGGTCAGGCTTGGCTGACTTGTATGTCACCGTATCTTAGTTGCGTGAATCAATGTTCATGTTGTCATTCGCCGGATTAATAAATCAATTAGACAAGATGCGATGGTTTACGGGCCACCACCATATCGGGGCATGAGGCGCTAAACAACAAACATGACGTCACATCTCACCACCAGCATACAGGTGGCTGAATAGTTTAACATATCCTAACCTGGAATCACCACGATTCACATGGGAATAGATACAAGGTCGGCGAGTTTAGTTGTAAGAGACCAGTATGGTGTGTCTGATGGCTAAGGCGTATCACAGAGGTGTGGGTAGTTGAGTATAGTGTGAGTTGAGTTTTAAGTCGTTTTCATCAGGAGTCCAGCCATACCCAGTCAGTGTCAGTTCATTGCGGAAGGAGGGGCGGTGGGGTAGCCTAGTGGTTAAAGCGCTCGCTCGTCACACTGAAGACCCGGGTTCGATTCCCCACATGGGTACAACGTGTGAAGCCCATTTCTGGTGTCCCCCGCCGTGATATTGCTAAAAGCGGCGTAAAACTAAACTCACTCACTCATTGCTGAAGGAGAGCCCGAAATAGTACATGCAGTAAACCCACCAACACATCAGTCTCAAGCACAAACACACATGCGCAAACACACACATGCACGCCACGCCACGCCACGCCACGCCACGCCCACACACTTCAGTTCCCCTCTCTACGGTATATCCAAGACCCCTCTGATGCTATTACATACTATTTTTAGTATCCCATCATCGCATAGAGTAAAGTAAATTATCCAGAATACCAAACGCGGCAAAATCTGCAAATTTTATGTGCGCTTTTTTGTGTGTATGGTTGCCATTGTGAGTGAGTTGGTGAGTTTAGTTTTACGCCGCACTCAGCAATATTCCACCTATATGGCGGCGGTCTGTAGATAATCGAGTCTGAACCAGACAATCCAGTGATCAACAGCATGAACATCAATCTGCGCAATTGGGAACCGATGACATGTGTCAACCAAGTCAGTGAGCCTGACCACCCGATCCCGTTAGTCGCCTCTTACGACAAGCATGGGTTACTGAAGGCTCATTCTAACCCGGACCTTCACGGGTCGGTTGTCATTGTGATTGTACAGGGCTATACGTCACAGCCTGGTGCCTTTTCCAGGGCTGGTAAATCATAACTAGTGCCCGTGTGTAATTATGGCCATCAGTTTATAAGCACTCATCAGCATCTCCAGCAGGTCTTGATCAGGTCATGACAGGCAACACTCGAAAACTGTCTGAAAACTCTCTTCTTTAATATATCGATTATCCGAATTGTTAATGGCGGTCATAGTATTACAATGAAACTGCACTTTCATTTCATACGAGGTGCTGTGAAGCCAAGTTTCCGTTAAATGCTAAATTGACATAAATCGATTAATATTTGTGTGGATAATAAGGGGTACGGCTGCGAGTATACCTTTGCATGCCATAAAGGATAATGGTTAACCTCGACAGCAAGCTGTTGGGCTGCCATGTCACCTGCGGGTTGAATCCACGCCGTTACATACTCACCCTTCGGGCACGTCCCATGTCACAAAGTGGGGCTCTCAGAACAGGGGCGGATACAGCTTTTGAGAAAGGGGGTGCACACTTATTGAGAAAGGAGGGTGCACACTTCCTTTTCACCCGACTTTCAATGGTCATTAAACAAACTTTCAGCACAAAAGGCCCCCTCCCCCTCTGGATCCGCCTATGCAGAAATCCCATATACGGACGTGCTCCGCCCCACGTTGGGCCCCAATGTAGCGGCCATAAAATGTCTGGTTTCCTTATTCCAGAGAGAGTATGTTCACGGAGAGAATTGGGGGCAGTGTATAATTCATATGGAAAAAAGTGTGTGTAATGGTCCTCGAGTGGGTGTAGCCGGGGAGCTTTTAAAACTAGCTGCGACCCACATTACTTGTAAACATCGAAGATGAAAGACTTAAATTAGCAGCATTATGTATCATTAACAAATATGTTTGTTCATTCAAGTGATAGATAACACAAACATGACAAACAAATTCTTACCTAATCAAAAAAAGAAAAACAAAAAAACTTCTTAAGTAATTTCAAACCACAGTACAGTGCTGTTGATCGAGAGAACGATCGTTTTCTGGTCGCGGCAAACTATAACACAGTTGACAACTGTATAGACTGACTGACTGAGTTTGGTTTTACGCCGCTTTTAGCAATATTCCAGCAATATCACGGCGGGGGACACCAGAAATGGGCTTCACTAATTGTACCCATGTGGGGATTCGAACCCGGGTCTTCGGCGTGACGAGCCAACGCTTTAACCACTAGGATACCCCACCGCCCCACAACTGTATAGATAGAAATATGAAATGGCATTAGTATCACATATACAAAAGTTGGATTATAGGTTTAGGACATATAGTAATACATTTACGGAAGCGATCACTTTTTCATATAGGGGGTGGTGAGGCGTCACAACTATATGTTACTGAATATAATCGGATGATGGTTTGCTTCTTAAGATAAAGTTGGCTTTTATTTTATTTATTTATTTTTTTAAGTATTTTTATTTCCCATCAGTATGTTGTACATTTTTCAGTTATATAGACAATGCAATATGTATAATAAGAAATCTACACAGTTGTATGATCATGAGTCGTATTCATTACTTAGCTGATACATAATAGGATAATAATATACATTGCTTGTATCAAGTTGTATACATTTCCATATACATGCACATACCTCACATATGTACGTGTACTTGAGGTATATATATATATATATATATATATACCTCAAGTACACGTACATACGCATTCATACATACTTCCACATACATATACGTAAATATATATACATATATATACATACACACATATACATATATATATACGTATACATATATTCATGCCAATAATGATTGTCACCCCCTCCCCACCCCAACCCAACACACACCCCACACCCCCTCTCCAATTAAAAAAATTGAAGGGGGATGACAACCATTATTGGCATGAGTATATATATACGATTGTTTACATAGATACATCATGGGTAATAATATTTGAAAAAAGTGTATGGAAGGAAGACCAAAAAGTACAAAATTGTGTTAGCCTCGCATTTGAAAAGGCAATATATTTGGTGGCTTTATAATAATTTAGTATTTCCCGCTGAAAATATTGAAAGTTTGGCTTTGTATTTTTCAAACTCATCTTATATAATGTATACTTTACAATAAGTTAAACACATTTAGTGGATTATTGTTTTTGCCTTTCAAGCCGAATAAAATATTTTCATGCGAGAGATTGATGTTCCTTCGGATAATATATCAAGACAACTGGACACTTCCCTTCATATTTCACAGTATATGGACATTCACATAGTAGATGTATTATTGTTTCAGGAGTAGATTCACAGAAAGAGCACACGGGAGAATCAGTATATTTCATTAAATGTAATCTGTACTTTGTCATTAAAATATTATGAGTAATCTTAAAGTGAAACCATCTTAACTGTACGCTCTCTGTGCATCTGTTTGCCATTAAATAAATATTAGTCCACTCTTCTTTGTTGTAATGTTGTTTCAGAATATCCTCCCATTTATTTTGGCCACTGGGAACGACGTGACTTTGTGGCAAGAGAGTATTATAGAAGGCTTTGCTCCTTTATTTTTTTCCACAAATACAAGCTATATTAAACGGTAATATTGGATTTTGAAATTCTGAACCAGTTTTCCCTATAACAGTTATATGTTTAGATCTGCAATAAGCCAACACAGCACATTTTATACCTTCAAAATGCAGAAACTTTACCTTGGGTATTCCATATTTTTTTTCTATCTCAGCTTCTTGTAGAAAATTCCCATTATGGTCAAAGATATCTGTAACAAAATGTATTCCCCTTTTGGCCATGTATTCATAATAAACAAATTTTCCCTCTATCTGTATATTGTTGTTGAACCATAGAGATTGGCAGAGAATATCTGAGATTCCGTTCACCTCTGAATAGCAATTCTTAGGTAATTGGACCAAGCCAATAATATATCTTTCCAAAATGGGTTTGTAACATTTGGCATGATATAGTTGCGTACATAATCTGTATGAGCATAACATAATTTAATCCTATCAGGTATACATACATTGGCAATAGAAATACATTTTAAATTTCCAGTGATAAGCATTTTGATCCACATTAGTTTTTATGTATTTATGGTATTGTTTATAATAGGTACACTAATGCCTCCATTCTTGGGTTTTTGAGACATGATTTCTCGTTTTACCTTATCCTTTTTTCCTTGCCACACAAAATTGAAACATTTTTTCTGAAATTTTTGTATTATATCATCCGGGGGCTAGGGATTGAAGAAAATAGATGATTTAGTTTTGGTAATAGCAATGATTTTAAGATAGTATTTCTACCCATTGGCGTCATATATCTCAAGGACCAGAGGTTCATTTCTTTATATATTTTCCAAATTTGTTTTTATAGTTGAGGTCTATTATATCGTCTAACTCGACATCAAAGTCTATTCCTAATAATCTGGAGTTTGACTGCGTTCAGTCTAAATTCCATTCTTTGCACATCTTGTGCTTAGGTCTTTTATTGGATCCTATCCATATCAGCCTAGTTATTTCTGTATTAACTTTTAACCCTGAAAATCTTGCAAAGAAAGCCAATGTGTTCAAAACTCAAGACTTGATTCTGATCCATCCAAAGTTACTGTAGTGTCACCAGCGAATTGGGCAAGCAGACTTTGAATATTTCCTATCTTTATTCCCGTTTTTTTTTTTTTTTTCCTGATTAGTAAGGCTAACACTTCGGCACATAGAATAAAGATATTAGGTGATATTTGGTCTCCCTGGCGACAGCCCCTGGTTATCTTAAGAAGTCACTTGCAAAACCGTTTACTATTACGCTAGATTCAATATCATTTGAAAAAATATTTATCCATTTCTGTAAGCTTGGCCCAAAGTTAAAAAACTTTAGAACATTTTGCATGAATTTTCTATGAACTGAGTCGAAGGCCTTCGAAATCGATAAGTAGTAGTAATCCTGGAATTTGGTATGATTCTGTATAGTCCATAATGTCATATATTTGTCTTGTGACTTCCCCTATATATCTTCCAGGAACGAAACCTTTTTGGTCCTCGTTGATAATATTCGGAAGTATTGCATTTATCCTATTTGCAATCACAGCTGATGCTAACTTATATGAAGTATTTAGTAGTGATATAGGTCTCCAATTTATTAGGAAGTTTTTACTTTTAGTACCCTTTGGCAAGCATGTAATGAGTCCTTGTTTTTGTGATTCAGACAGCGAAGCATTTTCATATGCATAATTCAACGAATTTATGAGGTACTTATTTAAATCGTTCCAGAAAAATTTAAGAAATTCACTTGAAAATCCATCAGGGCCTGGACTTTTATCATTTTTCATTTTCTTTAAAGCTGATAATGTTTCGTGGTAAGTTAATTTCCCTTCCAGGGAAGATGCTATATTTTCAGACAATTTTGGTATTTCATCACCTGTAAATAAATCTTCTAAATTTATCTGTGTACATTCCTCACTTGAATACAATTTTCTATAAAATGATTTAGTCTCCCTAAGTATTTCTGCTTGATCTTTTATCACTGAACCGTCATTTTTTCCAATTCCATTATTGATTTATTAGGAAAATGTCTTCTTTCAAGTTGCAAAAAATATTTAGTTGGTTTCTCCCCTTGTTCAATCCATTTTGCTTTGGATCTTATATATAACCCTTTCGTCTTTTGGCTTGTGATATCGTCCAAATCGTGGTTCAGTTCATTTATTTCTTTCATTATCTCTGTCTTTTTATCCTCTGACACACTATGTAGTTAAATTTCTAATTCTCTTAATTTATTTTCTAGAACTTTTTCTCTGTTAGATGTTATTTTATTTTGGGTAGATGAATAATTGTACCTCTTATTTCAAGCAATAACATTTCCCATAATAACTGGTCGTTGATGGTATATTTGTTTTCATTTTCATTTTCTTTTTTACCTCATATTGCTGTAAAGTGTTTTTTATGGTATTTTTTACACGTTCCACATATTTTTCGTCATAAAGTAATGAATTATTAAACTTCCAAAAACCTTTTCCTCTTAGTGTATCTCCCAGAGAAAGAGTTAGTGAAATTATTGAATGATCTGAATTGATACTTGGGGAAAGTTGGCTTTTGTATGAGGGTGATGTGTTTTTGTATTTATTTTTTAAACTTCCTAAAACCTATAACACGGGAATACACATGCACAAGAATACGTGGAGAGTAAATATAGGAATGGATTTTAGTAGTTTCTGACGCGTGAGAATTTCGTTTCGTTAAAACATCATTCCGCAATTTGTACATTAGGGTCGTCGATTTGCTCCGCACTTACGCCTTTGTTCCGAAATAATTGATTGAATTTAATAGTTATTATATTCTGGATTCATATTTGACTAGTAAATTAACATTTGATTTTCGTTAAATGTTTTTGGGTGTTGTGGTCGAATTTGGGGACAAAACATTGACATTATCTTCGCGGATTTAGTCCAGCGGGAAGGAATGAAAATGGCGTCGACTTCTAATGAGCAACCTTGGTACACGGCCCTCCTTGGTTTTGCAGAAAATTTCAGGACTTCTAACCCACCAAACATCCGACTTTGCATACACTGTCTTCAGTCGATCTTTACTTTCAAGCCTCCGCCACAAATCGAGGCTCGTACGCACCTCCAACTCGGCAATATTTTACTGACCCACACAAAAAACATCGACGCAGCACGGGCTCATTTGGAAAAGGCGGTATGTTCAAGTATTTTTGTCACTTTCTTAGAGCGATCAAGGCAATTAATGTAGAGTATTTCGTAGCCTTGTATGTGTAATTTGATATTTTAAGCACTTTACAATATTAATTTCGTTTTACTTTTATTTTCAGTGGAGCGTGTCGTCATCGGTATCCTTCTGAAATGTGGCATGCCAATGGTTGAGAAGCCAAGCATGGAACAGGTGCACATTGTGTAAACTGACATTATCACATCAGCTTATGTTGGCATACCACAGTGACAACGTTTCAATAACAGTATTTAGTTGACATATACAGTCATATGTCCTACAGTGTATTTCCTCGTCTGTTCGTGTCAAAAGAGAACATGGCTGGGTTTCTTAGGTTCTGACAGCTGACTGCTTTGTTTTGATCATGTGACCTATATCCATTAATGTGATGATATCGTCTTTTCCTTCTTCTGAATGACATTGATTTCAATATATTGTGAGTGTGCCTTGTAATGACGCAGTGTATTTCAAAATTTGGATATATTTTATATTAGGACTGTTCACATGGTAAATGTAGTGGTCATTTTTGATGGTGTAGATTGATGTTTATTGATCCTACAACATGCTGAACTAACTCAATTTTTGTATGGATATGTAACAAGCACTACTTAATATCAAACATTGGTGACTGTACATTTGTTTTGAAAATGAAAGATCATGAAATGAGGAAAATGCATATGCAGCGTGTTAACAATGAACGGTCTGTGAACTTTGACATTCGACAAAGTGCTCAGAAAAAGAATTTGTTTTGTCATTCCTGTAATATTCTTTTCATGAGTGTGATTGAACTCTGAATTTGTTCTGAATTTTATTGATAATTAAGTAGAGCATTGTTTATATTAATCAGTGGTAGTTGTTGATAATTGATACCGTGTGGTTCCACGAGGAGTAATTTTTTGCTTGAAAATTCTGTTCTATGAGCATATATGTGGAGTCAGTTATGTACTGAAGTTCCATTTGTGTAATGGGAACTAGTCAGTTACTACTTAGATTGTTTCAATACAAATGTATGGAAGTTCATGTGATGAGATTTAGCTCATGGCCTATAATCCAACTGAAGCTTGATCAGTTTGTAAGATTAGATACTCATCAAACAAACATTATGTCATTGCTTTGTTTTGTCAAAGATTACTCAACATTTATCTGATTATTTAAGCAAAAACCACTACTAGCAGCTAGATTTTGTAAGGTTTTGTAAGTTTGTTTGATAAATGTGAAATATGTTTGCCCCAACTGACATTTGTTATATGGGACAGTAGGGAAGCCTAGTGATTAAAGCATTCCCTCATTTCAGGGTTCTTTTCCCACATTGGTACAGTGTGAGGTCCATTTGCTGCAATATTGTTAAAGCTTTGCAAAGAATACTGATTAACTATTATTATTAGATATTAATTTTCAAATAGATTTAAGCTTACTTGTGAATTTTAACTCATTTGATACTTTAGAAAAATATGAGCAACACCCACAGTTTCATACTTTTTAGTCAATTATTTAAATTTTGTACCAAACTAGTGAAGACTTTTACAGGTGCTTATCTTACATTTCACCATTGTAGAAAAGCTACTGATACATGCAAGGGAGATGTCTTGTTAATGTAGTGAGATTGTTGGAAAAAAACCCACAGGTTTTTCAATTATCACTGCTGTTGATAACATCATAGAGTGGTGTTTCTAAACACAGCAAATATTGACAGAGGTGAGAAATAGGGTAATATTATTTTTAATGCTCTCATGTTGTCATTAGTTTATTTGAATTGAATGTTACAATACAAAAGTTTTTAAAGAAAAAAACATGTAGAATTTGTTCTAGTTCACTGAATTAAATATGTTATAACTTATTGCAAGTTTAATGTTGAGGTTTGGTTAAAGCTGAAGTACTTAACAATTGGATATTTACATTATTTGTGTTGTAACCTTAACTATGCCAGCTATCAGCAAATGATGACGTCCTGTTTGAGTCAGCCAGTATCCTGTCTCAGCTCTATGAACAGCAGGTAAGCCACAGACATCTGATCTGTTTTGCTATGCTTTAAGTGGACCTCATGGGAGCATGGGTAATTGCTTATGATATTTTTCTTACATGAGATTCAAAACATAACTTATATATTAATAGTATCCCAAGATCTAACAAGTACAATTTGAAAGTCTCAGACATAGCTTGTCATAAGACACAACTGAAATGAGAATTTCAAGAGAAATATTAGCTTTTCACCTCCTCACCCTAAATCATGCTTGTGTTTTTGGGGTGTCAATATAAGTGACCACATTTTCTGATGATTTGCTTTTTATGTCAGTCTTTTCATAGCATGGGGTTATCATCCCAGATGCTAGGTGTGTAAGTTCCTGCAGTCCTTTGCATTTGTTCCCTTGGTATTTGAAATTAGTGATCCTTAAATCTCCCATCCTTTATTCTTCGGTTCATCTTGAGAACATTGCTTACTCAGTTTAACCAGGGTAATATTTAGCCATCAGGAGGATATTAGAGACATTGCTCACACTGCATATTGGTCTGACTGTACTTCAGAAATCACTGAAACTGATGTGATGTATTTATGAAATTACCCCAAAACGGTGTTTCATATGTCATTGGGATGGTACAGTGTTATTAGTTGTATTTGTTTTAAGCATTGCATCATGTTTTCCAAGTTATGTTTTCCTTTAAACAGATATAAAGTTATTATATACAGGCTTTGTATTTATTGCCCAGTGATTCTTAAAAGTATTTGTATTCTTGTATTTACTACCACTCTTAATTGTTTTGTCTCTTACAACATATAATTTTTACATGTTTTGTCTTAATATTTATATTGCCCATACTCTGTGATGTAATATCATGTTCCTGAAACTGACTTGGGAATGTTCTTTTTGAAGAACCAGGTTCAGCTGGCCAAACCAATCCTACACCGGGCAATTGAGATGTCCCAACAGGCTCCATACTGGCACTGTCGACTTCTGTTCCAGTTGGCGGTATGTACATACACCTGCTCTGTAGGGATTCCTGATTAGAATAGGTCCCCACTACCTCATGCAGAGTAATGACTAAAGAGGTGGGTGGCAAGGTTACCTGGCTTACTGCGAGTCATTATGCCTCAATTGTATGGTCGAATATGTTTTATTTTTAACTAATCCTGCACTACTTACTTACTGCACTTATTGCTTATGACTCGAAACGTGGCTGTGCCAGACGATTGATGTTGAAAGCGTAGACTGTGATCACTTCCTGGTCTCGGGTAAACATCCGTCTGCCCACGCATCACCGGAAGGTGATGTCAGCCACCTCTGATTATTGCTTTTCGCATGCCTCGCAAGAAGTGTGGTTTGCCAGCTCGACTGATTTGTATCCTATGAATTGTGTTTATTGATAATAAACTGACTTTTGGGTGTTTTCCTTTGTTTTTCAGAGGGTGTAGGTATTACGCTTCTGTTTCTTTTTATAGTACTGTTGTAGTGATGGTGTTTGTGTTAAACACGATAGTTTTCATCACTATTATCGGTCACTTCGCCATTCAGAACACGTGGCTTCGATGTATTTGTAGTGGCTTGTTCTTGGCTCATGTTTATTTGTTATACTATTATCGTATATATATAAGCCTTAATTCTGGTCTCCAGTTTTTGTCAGTATTTGTGAGACGTTTGTTCTCAATTATGCTGTTTCCCTTTGTGTTCCTCATTACTATTGTTATACTATAGTACTGCTGTATAGTTTGTAAGACGGGGTATCTCATAAGTGCCTTCATTCATACTGTTTGAATTGCACTTTTCCGTGTTTTCCCCCGTTTTTAACATGATGAATGTGCTTGTTGCGGGGGCGGTGGGGTAGCCTAGTGGTTAAAGTGTTTGCTCGTCACGCCGAAGGCCCGGGTTCGATTCCCCACATGGGTACAATGTGTGAAGCCAATTTCTGGTGTCCCCCGCCGTGATATTGCTGGAATCTTGCTAAAAAGCGGCATAAAACCATACTCAGCCAGTCAGCCAGCTTGTTGCGCTTTCTTAATATATCATCTTAACACTTTTTCCCCCGTTTATGAAGTGCCTATGATGTCGCCTATAGCAAGCACCCAGATACTTGCCACACCACTGACGTCCACAAACTCCAGGGCGTCTGGCGCGCTCGATCTCCATTCTCCAGGTTGCTGTTTTCAGAGTTTCCATGGCAGGCGTCATACTCCTGACGCCTAAGATCCATGCGCCGCACGCTCAGCAGTCACTGGATGTTTCATTCCACACTTGACCTAGTTAGCAGGGACTGCAGCGCCTGTACGGCGCATCTACCACATCGACTACAACCTCGGCGTTCAGCAGTTGGTGTCAGCGTCTCCGTCGCCATACCTACCTGTTACAGCTTCGTTCCTGACTACAGCAAATGTATGGTCTACCTGATCCAGCGCCTGTACGGTGCCTGTAAACCATACTTCCTCACTCCAGAGCCTGTATGGTGTTTCCACCAGATCCAGCGATTGTATGGCGCCTATAACACCATACTCACTTGGTCACTCCAGCGCCTGTCCGGCGGTTCTACCAGATATAGCGCCTACTGACTCCAGCGCCTGTCCGGTTTTTCTACTAGATATAGCGCCTGTACGGCACTAACAGCTGTACGGCGCCTCTTCGAGATCCAACTCCTATACCATCATACTCACTCACTCCAGCGTCTTGTCCGGCTTTTCTACCAGATGCAGCGCCTGTACGGCGCTACCAGCTGTATGGCGCCTCTACTAGATCTAGCGCCTGTACAGCGCTACCAGCTGTATGGCGCCTCTACTAGATCTAGCGCCTGTACAGCGCTACCAGCTGTATGGCGCCTCTATGGCTCTACAGATCTAAGCCTGTACAGCTACCAGCTGTACCAGCTACTACTAGATCTAGATCTAGCCTGTACAGCGCTACCAGCTGTATGGCGCCTCTACTAGATCTAGTGCCTGTACAGCGCTACCAGCTGTATTGCGCCTCTACTAGATCTAGCGCCTGTACAGCTACCAGCTGTATGGCGCCTCTACTAGATCTAGCGCCTATAAACCCATACTCACTCCAGCAGGCAGACAGTTCAATGGAACAGTGTTGGACTCTGAATACTGTGTTCCAGCGGCGTTTATGCCAGATTCAGCACTTATATGACGCCTCCACTATATCTAGTGCCTCCAGTGTTCAACATACTGCATTACCACCTCCAACATGTTCAAGGGTTTCGGCAGCTGTTGGTTGCGCCACTGTCTCCGATAGCCCCTACATCAGGCGACGAACACATCTTGCCCTCGGAGACTTCAACTATTATGGTGCCTAAGGCCGGGCGTGGCGTTTACGCAATCCCTTGTCAAGAAATTAAGAGCGTGACAGTTTTCTTCGTACAGTGCGTCTTACAAGGCGAGAGTCTCAAGGGATGACGGCCCTTGATTTGGAACTCACACCTATCTCAAACTCACACCTATCTCAAACTTAGCTTCGGCTATTAACACTGTCTCTCCAGACCTGACGTGAGATGAATCCGTACAGGATCGTTACCTTTCTTCTATGATGGCTTGGTAGTGGATGGTCCCCACTGTCCTTGGCGAACACTTACGGGCAGATCTTGCCAATGCGTGTGTTATTTGAGGTCAAGGTTGGGGTTCTCTATTTCGCCATTATCATCTGTTGTCGGGGTGAAGACGTTCCTGTGTTCCTCTTGTGTTCAGCTGGTGTACTCAGTTTGTACATTAAGCGAACTCAAGCCGTCAGAGGCATGTAAGCAAAACCCCAAGTGTTTTGTGGATATGGACTTCCTTTATTCATGCGTAAAATGCGGCTGATCTGGTTTCCCCTACATCTACACCATCCTCCAGTACTTCGCACACTCGCCTCTACTATGGCGCTTCACTGTCACCGTACAGTAGCGCTTCACTGTAACTGTACAGTGGCATTGATAATGCAAGAGTGTTTCTAGAAGTGGGACACAGTCTTCGCCAATCAGTCTCCACACCATATGTGTCCATTGGTGCCAGACCAGCACCTCAACAATCCCCGAAGGATATCACATCCTACATTGTTGTTCACAATGAAGCACGACGATGTCATGTGGGGAATGAATGAGGGGATGAGTACCCAAAACAACTGGGTATGTCAGTTAAGGAGTAACACTTGGATAGACTCAGGTCCATGCTTCTTACTGCATTCCCTAAAGCTAATAACGCTTTAAAAATCCATTTATGTGTACATGGCTTATATGCAAATTACCACTGAGATGTAATCCTCTCCGTCGACCAGTCTTCCAAATTCCACGAAGGTGTCTTCATTCATGATATTTCTTCCCACAAGGCATGATGTCGCCGTGTGGGAAAAGAGTTGTTCCGAGGGAAACAACTGGATGTGTCAGTTAAGGAGCAACACCTCGAAAAACTCAAGTCAATGCATTTTACTGCATTTCCCTAAAGCTAATCTCGCTTTAAAAATCGCGTGGTCTTTTCCATTTAAGCCTACATGTCTTATATGCGAATTACCACTGAGAGATAGTCACTGTCTGTTGACTATTCTGCCAGGTGCAATGAAGATACCTTCCACCATGCTTTTCTTCCCATGAAGCACGCGATGACGTATGGAAAAAGAGTTGTTCTAGGAGAACAACTGGGTGTGTCAGTTAAGGAGTAACGATTGGGTTAACCCGAGTCACTGCTTTTTACTACATTTCCCTAAAGCTAATAACGCTTTAAAAATCGTCTGGTATATTCCATTTAAGACTACGTGTCTTATATACCTATTACCACTGCCTGATCGTCACTCGCTGTCCGAGGCGCACTTGATAACATTGACTGAGCTGTCTTTGTTTACCTTGCGAGGCGATCCCCACAGATGATACGCCCTCCTTCCTGCCTGTCCGATAAATGTGCAGGAAGTAAGTAGTGCAGGATTAGTTAAAATTTTTGTAAAATCTAAATATTTTTTATATTTGTATATTTATCCTGCACTACTTATGATAAGGGCCCACCCTGCGCTTTCAGCTACCTCTCCTCTTTGTTTTCATCTGTGGGATTTACGGCAATAATCAAAGGTGGTTGACGTCACTTCCGGTGACGGATGTTTACCCGAGACAAGGAAGTGATCGCAGTCTACGCTTTCAACATCAATCGTCTGGCACAGCCATGTTTCGAGTCATAAGCAATAAGTGCAGTAAGTAAGTAGTGCTGGATTAGTTAAAAATAAACACATTCGACCATACAATTGAGGCATAATGACTCGCAGTAAGCCAGGTAACCTTGCCACCCACCTCTTTAGTCATTAACTCAAAACATGCATGCAATAAGTGCAGGAAGAAAGTAGTGCAGGATAAGTATACAAATATAAAAAATATTTAGATTTTACTAATATTCACTGGTTTTCTCCAGTCCAGCCTCTGTTGATTGAAAGGCCATAATGATATAGATGTAATATTTGAGCAATGTTGAGGCTTCACTTTTCAACATTATATCATTTACTGTTGCACCATAGCTGGAGAATTCATTTTACAAAATCATTGGGTAAAATTTACATGTGTGCAGGAATGGTAATCGTAATTTCTTAAATGTAACTATGTGTACATAGGAAGTATCTCTATTTAAAAAACATCATATGTATCCATCTTCTTGATTAACTGATAACTTTGTGTTCAGTCTGTTTATAATGATTATAAATTGTACCTTTGGAAGGATAAGTTCATAATGATCCTACAGATGACCTCTGGTCAAATAAAATTTCTTTTGTTATATACTAGTAAATCTTTTGTCACAGTCCTCATTACTGTTTTCAGCAAATCTTTGCCATAGAAAAGGATTTCCTATCTGCCTGTGGACTGCTAGGAGTCGGGGCGGAGTTTGCTCGAACAGCTCAGTCAGACTACACACGGATGCTGTTCCTCCTCAGCAAGGGCATGGTAAGTTTCAGCTTTTGGAATGCTGATCCACTAGCCAAGACCACAAAATTGTGATGGGCACAGTAGAAATCCAATATTGGTAGTAGTATTTGGGGTGGGGTGGGTAAATGTGAGAATTGTATTCTTGTCCCTTCCCAAGTCAACGGTATTTACATAACTCCTGTTAAATGGTAACTGTGATGACCCACACAGGAACTGATCTATGCTACCCAGGGTTTTCTCCTATAGTTGTCACAAATATTGCATCAGCATTCAGTCAGCTTTGAAAATTGTGTACCTCAAACCTTTTTAACCATCAGACCTTCGATAGTTTCATATGCAGTATAAATTATATTTGTGATTACACTTTCCCAGCAAAGTTAAGATTCTAGTATTTTGAGGGGTTGGGTCATATTTGGGATTTAAAAACACCCATCGAATTGAAATCTTTGAAGGGTATTTAGAAGTGGAATGCATAAGAAAAGAAAGATTTATCGATGTCAACTTCTTTATTGTGAATAACACGACATTTAAGAGTGTATGCTTGCTCCTCCATCAGACCTGATGGAGGAGCAAGCATACACTCCAAACATTATACTGTCTAGAGCTTCATTCAAAACTGATCCTATTGCTCAGGAAATCGTAACACCCATACTTTCAGATAGGCTAGTGACAGCTGTTGCTTTATACAACAGATTGAACAAGTATCTCAGTATTATGGTATGCTAGCAGATTCATAGTTCTTTCTTTGATATCAGCTTTTCTCACATTTCACAGGAAAGAGTAACATTTACATAATTGTTATAAAATAGAAGACTGAATCAATATATTATGCACATATAAATGCTGTTTGCATTAATACTGTATTGGCCAATGCTGTGAGCATCAGGACTATAAATACATTAGGTGTCATTTGTGTATTAATTTTGTATGAATACTGTATGTGTCAGTGCAGTAGGTATTAAAACTGTGGCAATAAATTTCCCAAAAAACGTTTGGATAATTGTTAATATAGAAAGGTTTTGTTTTCCTTATAGCTTCTGCTGATTGATAAGAAGATGAAGGATGTTGATGAGTGTCTATCCATGGTGTCAGGTCTCATTGAAACATACCAGGGCTCACCCATACACAAGGAATCTCTGAAAGTGTTCTTCCTTGTCCTGCAAGTGTGTCACTATCTCATGTCAGGACAGGTGAGGCCATATGTCTTTGATGGTAGCATGAATTGTGGCCAAGTTGCTTCTAAACTGCAGGCTGCAACTTTTCATTGGAAGATCCTTAAACATGCATATGTAGTATTAGATCCTCACCTAATGTTGGAATGAGGCAACTATGTTCAGAATGGTCTCTGGAAGTTAGTTTGGTCATGTGTCTGTGTTTGATAGTGAGTGAGTGAGGTTAGTTTATGCCGCACTCAGCAATATTCCAGCTATATGGCGACTGTCTGTTAATAATCTAGTCTGGACCAGACAATCAAGTGATCAACATCATGAGCATTGATATGTGCAATTGGGAACAGATGACATGTGTCAACCAAGTCAGCAAGCCTGACCACCCGATCCCCTTGGTCGCCTCTTACGACAAGCATGGGTTGTCGAAGAAGATCAATATTCTAACCCGGACCTTCACGGGTCCTATGTTTGATAGTTCCAATTGTGGTATTCTGTGTTGTTTTCAGGTGAAAAGTGTAAAACCGGCACTCAAGCAGCTACAGCAGAGTATCCAGACAATAACACAGATACACACAGATGATGGTAAAGATACTACTGAATATTACTTTCGTTTTGATTTATAGAAGATGAGGCTGTCTCTTTCATTCTAACATCTCTGTGATAAAATTCAACAACTACAAGTAATATTTCTTTGTGTACTTTTACATTTAGGTAGAAAGAAACTTTGTAGCAGATCATGTTTACAGTTTCTTGAAAAAATATGAATTACTATCAAACCCAGATGGAGCATGTTTAATAACATTTTTCTGAATTCTTTTTGACTCCATGGGAATGACATCCTTAAGCTGATTAGTTATTTAATGAAATGTAAAAGTCAATTTGGAACAAACTTTATGGATAACAACTTCTATTATTTTTTGAGTGCAACGTTTCGATACAGATTCTTGTACCGTTGTCAAGCATGATTAATGCCACTCAAAGAAGTAAAATCAGTCATTGAGAAACACATGCTAAAGGAGTGCTTATGAAATATTTATGAGAATATTTGTGTCTGTAACTTTTGTGTTATGTGTTGTGTTAAAACTTGACCCATACCAGTATTACCACTGTATACCATGACCATGTTCAGTTGTTTTTAACCATGATTGTAAATCTATATTGCAGTTCTCCTTTCAGAGCCACTGTCTGGAAACCCAGTTGACTTGTTCCAGTGGCTGCCAAAGGAACATATGTGTGTGCTGGTGTACCTGGTGAGTCGTCTTCAGCTATCTTTGTGCATGCCAGAAACATATTGTTACAAATCCTCCACCTCTATTACATCACTACCAGAAATCCCTTATTTAGGCTTCAGTCAGGCAAACCTAATCTTCAGAATTTTCAACAGATGCCCTCTTCACTCTCATCTGCACATGACCCGTGAAGGTCCGGGTTAGAATATTGATCTGCAGCAACCCATGCTTGTCGTAAGAGGTGACTAACGGGATCGGGTGGTCAGGCTCGCTGACTTGGTTGACACATGTCATTGGTTCCCAATATTGTGCAGATCGATGCTCATGCTGTTGATCACTGGATTGTCTGGTCCAGACTCGATTATTTACTGACCATCGCCATATAGCTGGAATATTGCTGAGTGTGGCGTAAAACTAAACTCACTCACTCATCTGCACACAATTAGTTGTCAAAAGAACAGTACAGCCAGTGAGCATTCAGCTTGTCAAGGCAGGAAAAGCTTCAACCCTTTCTTGTGTTTTTAGAGTCAACATTGCCTTTCTGCTGAGTTTATGTCTCTAGCACTTAGTTTATGTAATTACAGTAGTTAATGGATATGTGGTTTACCTAATAATATCAGTCATAACTGCGGAGGATTGATATCCCCAAAAGCAATGACAGTGTTAAGCACGATATCTGCCTGCCTGGATCGATATACTGAAGCATTGCCAGATCTGCCAGCTCAAAGCCTCCATTGATGGATGTCTCTACCAGGAAGCCTTACATTGCTATAACATTGGACATGCAGAGGAAGATTTATACCACGACAGCTCCCATACTGGATCAAGTTTCCGAGATCTCAGACTTTGGACTTTCACAGAGATCATGTGATGAATAGCATGAGCCTTTGATAAATGCAAACACCTGTGGATTGCCTACACATGCATCCAATATGAGATGGGGAGCCAATATGGATAAACCCAAGATGCAGGGTCTATAGAAGAGAATGTTCACTTCATCTGCTTAGAGATGAAGGCAATCTATTTTGTTCTCAAAAACTGGAGGAATCTGCTACCTAACTTCTCCATCCTCATACCCACAGACAACATCATAGTTGTAGCTTACATTCAGAAGGAAGGGGGAACCTAGTCCAGTTGACTGATGTTAGAGACTTCATAATTGTAATTTGTATGCCTTGGCAGGCTTCCATCAATTGCTGGACAGAAACAAGACATATTCCATGAGAAACGAGACATATTCAATGAGACTGAATATCCAAGCAGGCAACCATTGTTACCATGGGACATCAGAAGTGTTCCACTTACTAACATCACAGTGGGATACACCACCTCTTTGCTACTTGCCTGAACGTTGCCTGATATATGTCAGTTGAGTTCCATATTCAGTGGCCTTTCAAGTAGATACACTTTCCATGAATTAACAAGCTCATTTGCCTACAGATTCCCTCTCAAAGTTAATCTGGAAAATGAAATCCTTAAGATAATAAATGCCAAAATCATTCTAATTATTCCCCCAATACCACATCTTCGATAATCTCCAGGGTATACGTTCTGATAAATCTCCTCTAGTACCCTGGATGCATCTATGTCTCAGCCCAATAATTGTATTACCTCCCTTTGCTAGCTTTTTATCCAATCAGGTATCTGGGAAGTTGAGTGTACCAATCATAAGGCTTCTATCATAACTCACTTCGCTTCTTTTATCTAACCCATTAAACTTGGCAACATAATTGTTGCAGAGGTACCCTAAAAGAGGTAGAAGGAGTTCTTGCATATATTTTTTGAAGCTTTCAGACCTGTCAATTTGTCTTTGATTTTTTCCCTAAATCTGAGTCACACAGCAAGCAAACCTCCGCAGCTATAGACACCATCTGTGTTGACACTGGCAAGCTCAGTTGTAACGGCTTATCTGATTGGCTACTGTGTGAAGGCAGAGCCAGCAAAAGGAGGTAATACAATTATCTGGCTGAGACGTAGATGCATCCAGGGTACAAGTGGACATTTATCGGAACATATACCCTGGAAATTATCTAGGATGCCGATACCAAAGCAAAGCATTGTTCCCATGATTTCTACTGTTACTAATCCACTGAGACAAGATCTTGGACAAGCCAAGTCGGATACCTTCAACAGCAATCTTCCAATGCTCAGTGTGGCCACTTGGAAACTTAGTTTGCAGAAGATGCAGGTTTCTCTAAATCAGTATCTACAGCAGCGGCAAAGACTTGGAGACCATCATCGTCTTTCCTTTACAATCAACGGACTTAGTTCATTCAGTGGAGACGACAACATTACTTGTCAGAGTAGTGACCATTGCCATGGTAGCAGAGTTTACTTTCTCTACATCCAGATAAATCTCTGCCACAGAAAGGTACAGATCGACCATACATTCTGTACCCTCTCTAGATGATTATCTCTCAGTGGACATCCTACGATCGATAGATGTTTGAGAGCATGTCGAACATGTCAGAGCCTCAAGAACTTTCAGGAAGTGGAATCTTCCTGTGGTTCATTTCTACTTGAATCTTGCTCACTGACTCATATTTATGCCTGGGAAAATAGGTTCTGTTATAATTAGTTGCCTGAGAATCGTATATTATGAGTAATCAGGAAATGGATGTCAGAAATTTGCACAAGATCATGTGATATTGTAGTGAAAGATCAGTTTTAATGAAATTACTGTCATTACAATATCATACATATACTGCTAATGTTTGATCTGCTTATATACTTGCTAATATGGTTTAGGGGTCCCAGCGCATTGTAGTGTCGGTGTTTGTGTGGAGTACTGAGAATTGTTCAGAAATAGGGCATGGAATATCCTGGGGACATTAGTTTCGTACCCTAAAACTCTGACTTTCACACAGGACCAATGAGCAAAAGCATTTGTTTTTAATCTTCAGTTTTTATGCCTTCTGAGTATTCAAAAGTACATACATCTTAATCAATAAAAACTCCTCGATTATTGCATTTAGCATTGTTTTGATGTAGACTGTGGTACCGTTATCAAGCTTTGTGAAAGTCTACTTGCCAACCTCATTCAGGCATTTGATCATCAGTGTAACCTGTGTTCCCCAAATGTTGAGTCCAACATCAGAATGTTTCCATGTGCTTTTATTTCAGGTGACTGTGATGCACTCAATGCAGGCAGGATACATGGACAAGGCACAGAAGTACACAGATAAAGCACTCATGCAGATTGAGAAACTGAAGAGTAAGCATTTACTTGCAGGCAACAATGGCATTGTTTTTCATTGAATTAATTTTGGGAGACAAATCATAGTTGCCTTCCTTTGAATTGGAAATTTCAGTAATTTTTTTTTTTAATAGATTGCCATCTGACTATGGATTTACAAGAATTTCATAGTTTTTAAGTGAAGAACGATGTTCAGCCAGTGGGATTACAGTATGAATGATCTCGACGGACTTCAGCAGTCTGTGAGAGTACTTCAGTGTTATCTATCGCGGGGCGGTGGGGTAGCCTAATGGTTAAAGCGTTGGCTCGTCACGCCGAAGACCTGGTTCGAATCCCCACATGGGCACAATGTGTGAAGCCCATTTCTGGTGTCCCCTGCCGTGATGTTGCTGGAATATTGCTAAAAGTGGCGTAAAACCAAACTCAGTCAGTCAGTCAGTTATCTATCGCTGTGATAATCATGACCTACTTTCGATGTGGTGTGTATTGGTGGTAACCTTATATCTTTTGTGTTTCAGTGCTTGACTGCCATCCGCTATTGTCATCCTTCCAGCTGATGCTGTTGGAACACATCGTCATGTGCCGTCTCATCATGGGCAACAAATCCATGGCAATCCAGGAAGTAAGTCTATTTCAGTGAAGGTTTGTTGGGGACAGAATATATCCCCAACTCCACATGCCTCTGATAAAATAAAGTGCAGACTGAAAACAAGATTCCATTGGGGTTACTGTTTGAAACAGGGTGTAAAATAGCCACTGAGTTGATCAGGTCGTCAGCCTATGTCTTGGTCTATGACTTGAATTGTTATCCCAGCAGCATGGAAGATTGCTGATGGTACCATTCACTGGATTATCTGGTCCAAACTATTGTTTCAGTTTTTTACAGGCCATCATGGTATGGATGTCATAAAGCTGACTGCTGTTAAAGTGATTTTCTCACTATCAAAGCTGGCTGTGCTGAAAATTAAAGAAATGCTTTGTTTTTAAAAAGTATGTTTTAGCTTCAATTCAGCCGTACATTTGCTTATACCTACCTGTATAGCTACCTACCGTAGGTCAAGTGGAAACACACCAAAAAACACACTTGTGCAGTTTCCTCCCCTTCCCAGTCACCAATTTTTCCTGTGTCTTGTGCCTATAGGACGTGTGGAAATAGAGCTCCAGTGTTTGAGACGTTGCAGTGTTGATAGAGTTTGAATAAGTAAAGTTTTTACTAACCTATTCCTTGGTGTAAACACTTGTTGCTTCACTAACACTAATCCGTGAATTGAACTTGTTGTTGGAATCATGACCTCCACCATGTTCAGTGAACCTCAAATGTATCATGTGTGGTAAGTTGTCCGAGAAAGATTTCAGTGCATACTTGAGAGCCATTGCCAAGCGAGAAGGCTGATCAGTGATATGAAAAGAAGCATGCTTCTTCTCAGGATCAGGCTAAGGAGGCTGTTATAGTTGAACAGAAGTTTGACCGAGCGGCCTACGGTTGACACTCCGCCATTTTGTATTGATCAGGCATCTTGTCAACAACCAACGAGAATCAAGGTAAAAAGGTATGTCGTCTACTCACGACTCAAGCGATAGGGACTCAAACGATGACAACCACTACGATGTCAGGGACTATGTTCTATTATTAATAGAATTCAATGCCTCGCGGATTGGTCAATGTCTACACCAGATCATAGTGATCGTGTTGACACCTCCTCTCGTTCGGTCGATATTGTGCGAGTTGTCATTCATCGCGTCAGGGATACGTCAGATTGTTCCGGTCGATATGAACGAACGGATTGGCGTGAACGAAATGAGCGATACGATGATCAAGTCTCTAGACATTCTATGGATTCTCGCTATGACGACTATGATAGTATAAGGGGTGTTTCGTGTCATCGGCCTGATCAAAACGATAATAGCTCTTCTCGGCATTTTGAAGATTCTCGTTCTTCTCGTTATGATCGTCCTTCTCGATATAACGATTACTATGGGAACTACCATGACAGATCACTATCAGCTTCTCCCGCTCATTGTCGACAGGATTGTTATTACGAGGATGATGACTATTATCCATGTCATGGTTTAACTTACAATTATTCACGTAGTCGTTCTCCTCGACGTCGGCGACTACTACTTCTTCTAGTGTGTACCCAGACACCTCACCAATTCGTTCTGCACCAGTCCAACCCAGTATTAATTTACTGGACGACTTTTGTTACTCATTTACGTGCTGCACTTTTCCCTTTGTTGACCCTGTTGTTATGCCGGCTTTGTCGTTGTCTACTGTGCCAACTACGACTTCGTTTTCGACATTGAATGTTACACCAACCCCTACTGGATCCACCTGAGGGGGGTGATAGCCCTCCTTGACCCCTACGGGACACTGAAGTACTTGTGTGGATGTCAAACTTCATGGAAGCCAACAATGAATCGAACCCCATGGCAGGGTTTTTTCAGCTTGGCCACTTACTGGACTCGCTAAGTTTTCTGTCACCTTCATCATTCACGAAACTTCCCGATGACTCATTTTGCTTCAGCGTTGCCTTCTCAGAATTTTGCCAAACCTGGGATGCGACATACATTTCCCCTCTATGGTATGAATTATTCTTCTCTAGTATCAAAGGATCTTGACTGGGCATTATTGTTTCCTAATACAACTTCTTACTCGACTGATGACAAACATTTGGAAGCTATTGATAACGCTGCACGACACCAAATGCTGCCACTTGCCATGACATCCACAGTGACTGATTGTGTGGGTTTTTTTAGGGTAAAGATTACCTTTCGGACGATGACAGAATGGTGATGTCTACGCTATTGTGTGTACAGAAATGAACGTAGGGTGTAGGGTAAATACACTCTTGAGAGCGAGAAGCTATTGGGTTAAATCTACTGCCCAGAGACCTGCAAGTCGCCAACCCGTTCACATTAACAGGAGCAATGATAGCTGCATTGTAATGTTCAGAGGGTATTTCGAGCCAATAGATTGTCAGGTGGCGACCGATGCCCTACAGGGGACAGAAGAATGGTGTCCTTCTCCAACTTTGGAGGGGGACACGCAGGGGAAGAAGCGAGAGATATGGACCCTCCCCCAGTGGCAAAACCATTGGAGAAGTTACCGTAAAAAATGCACCTCATATTCAATCTAAAGTACTTCATTGCCACATATTTCCAAACGCCGGACAAGTTCACCATGATCTCTCTCAGTTCTCTACGACGGTTGATTTTTGCCAAACGATTTTCTAATCTCCTTATACCTGCAAGACACATATCTGCATGCCCCGATTCACCCTGGGTCCCAGAAATACCTCCATTTCATCTTGGAATTTCAATGTACATTTTCACTCAAATTATTAAACCTGTCGTGGATCGCCAAGCTATCAGGGTCGGACTACAAGGGAATTAAATCATGCCAGACTTACTTACATGACTATCACACTCGATTTTCAAGCTCACTAGGGAGGATAGTCAACTTCCAGAAGTCTGAGTTATCCCCAACTCAGGATCTGCAATAAGTGAACATTCGATTCAAAATGGCGTTCTACCTAATTGTGGTTCCTAAAGACCGATGGCAAAAGATTGTAAGCAGTCTTCCTTATCTGCTGCACGCCCCAGTGACATAGTTGGCAGGAGATTTGTGGCTGTCGACATCAGCACAAGACCTCTCTTCACAGGGCCGTCTCCAACTTCAGAGATTTCTTCACCCACATCTGCTATTTCCAGATTGTCTGGTTCAACTGCCAATCCACCTATGGAGAGGTGGCTGCAGCCGTCGAACGTTTGCGAAGCTGTCTCTGAGTGTGCCTCAGTTTCAGTCTCACTTCTTCGTAGATGCTTCCGTCACGCCGAAGACCCGGGTTCGAATCCCCACATGGGTACAATGAGTGAAGCCCATTTCTGGTGTCCCCCGCCGTGATATTGCTGGAATATTGCTAAAAGCGGCATAAAACCAAACTCAGTCAGTCAGTCAGTCGTAGATGCTTCACTGGAGGGCCATCTAGTCCTTCCACAAAGTGGATGCTTCATCCAATCACGTTTCAACTTCTGACAGGGTATTTCTGGACTCCACAGTAGATCAGTTTGTGTCCCGACACAACAACTGTCTTCCTTGATTTGTGTCTCCTGTCCCAGACCGGCTGGCTTGGGACCACGACGCCCTAGCAATATTGTTGGAGGATCTGGTTGCTTATGCGTTTCCACCAACCATTCTGTTACTTTTGATCTTAGAGAAGATTCCACAGGCCAAACGACTTAGTCTGCTTTTGGTCTTGCCCTATTGGTCGGCCAGGATGTGGTTCCCGGAACTGCTACACATCATAAACAGACCTGCAATTGCTCTACCGTTCCGGGAGGATCTTTTGCATCCATACAGTGATGACCTTCACATGGATATACAAAACTTACAATGTCATGTTTGGCATTGCTCAAAGCCTCGAATATATCACATTCCTCCATTTTCCGCCATCCTGTGTTCTCAAGAACTCCCTGACCTCTCACTTTGTCCGGTTTGTTCTTTACACATTTGCCTTTTGTTCATCCCATTATCTGCGACCCCCAAGTTGGAGATTACCAGAAATACTCTTTCCTACTGGTTACAGTCTGTGATTCTATGAGTGTCTGCAGCGCAGAATATGGACCCACCTTCCTCTTCCCACCCTCACGAAGTTAGTGCACTTGCATCCACGTTAGCTTTCCATGTTACTACTCTCTACAGGCTATTATGGAGGGCTGTTATTGTTCATTCTTTGTGAACTTGGGTAAACACAACGCTACTAGTGAAGTCTGTCAATACTATGTGTCACCAGGGTTGCGTAGGCTTCACATAGGCACTTATATTGTTTGGGCCTTGTCCCCCACCGCAAATGTACGGCTAAACGTAAGTTAAAACATGGTGGGTTTTTTTTTTAATAAAAGCGATGTTTCAACAAGTTTACATTCAGATGTACATTTTAGTCACACCCATCCACTCCTCTGGACTTGGCCTCTTTGTCACTCTTATACAGCTTTTTGGTCTTTTGCTCTGAAAAGATTGGTGACAGGGAAGGGGAGGTAATTGCACAGGTGTTTATATTTTGTGTTTACGCTTCGTTTCCACTAGACTTACGGTAGATAGCTATACATGTAAGTATAAGCAAATGTGCGTCTGAATGTAAGCTTATTAAAACATTCTTACTCTAAAAAACACATTGTTGAAAACTGAGTCGAAAATTAAATTCATCATATTAATGCAACATTTTAGTTTGTCTTCTTTACTTGCTGTGTAACCTCCATGTTTTGCATCTTCCAGATATTCCAGGCGTGTCATGTTTGTCAGCAACAACCAAGGTTATTTACTACACATGGGGCACAGATTCACACGTTACTGGTGAGTTGCACAGAAATTATTTCACTATTTGTTGAAAATATCTAAAGGTATCCCGTCTTTCTGGTAGCAGGGTCCAGACAGATTTTGTAGGTGCATTCATAAAGACAAATTGTTTAAGTTTGCCATGAACTACTTGAGTAGAGCTAGATTGTAAATAAAATCCATCAAAATATGACAAAACAACCATGACTGAAAATTATCGTCAATCATACTTCACCACATTACAACATGAAAAGGAAATACAACACCCTCAAGACATAACTGAAAAAGGGCGTGAAATTGATAATCACACAATGGGGGAATGTGCAGCAGATTCTAACAAACGTGGCTGTCATCACCAAAAAAAGGATGTTCGTCGTTAGTGTGTCCTGTGTATTTGTTAAATCAGAAGGGAGATTTGATATACTTGATAATCAGGGTACCGTTCCACAAAGCGATCGTAGTGCTAGGATGATCGTAACTCACATACTTTAACATAGACTTACGACTGTTGTAGTGCTAAGGTGATCGTAATTCACATACTTTAACATAGACTTACGACTGTCGTAGTGCTAAGATGATCGTAATTCCCATACTTTAACATAGACTTACGACTGTCGTAGCGCTAAGATGATCGTAACTCACATACTTTAACATAGACTTACGACAGTCGTAGCGCTAAGATGATCGTAACTCACATACTTTAACATAGACTTACGACAGTTGTAGCGCTACGATCGTGTTGTGGAACGGGGCCCAGTGATGTGATAGATTGCTTATTGAATAAAGTATGGGATCAACAAGATTTGTATTTGCAGTATGCTGATTGCATCTGGGGTTGTTGTTTACAGGGCTTGTATGCAATGTCGATGAACTGTATGGAAGCAGCTGAAGCCCAGTTCAAAACCGCATCCAAGGTAAGCCAGTTTTATCACATGAGGAAACATATTGCACACTTTGCATACAGGATATACTGGATTTTGTTCTGAACTATTTATATCCATTTGCGTAATAGTAGTTCTTGCTCTTGCACAAACAAAAATATATTAATCGTCCTTGCTGAATGGATAAACATGGACTGGCCACCTTTTTGTCAGTTTAATGTGTCTGGATGGATATTCAAGTTAAACCTGTGTCTGGATGGATATTCAAGTTAAACCTGTAGTATGGTGTCTCAGTGTGCTAGGGCCATAAAACTGGTCAGGAGAAAAGATGCTCACCCACTCACTCATTGACATGACTGTATGTTGTTGTTTTTTCTTTTATGTGGGAAATAATATCGGAACTTAATGTGAAACCCCATTTCACATAGCTACTACAGGGACAGTGAGTTATCCTGGTGGTTAAAGTGTTCGCTCATCATGCCGAAGACATGTTGGAATATTGCTAAAAGCAGTGTAAAACTAAACTCACTCACTCACCTAGCAACTAAACTTATTTAGTAACATACTCATTCAGTGATACAATGTAATGTAAACAGTTGTAAGGGGAAACATCTGTATTCCATAGGAAATCATGCAACTCTATGTATTGTTGTTTAATAATTTTATGTTTCTAATTGTCAGGTGGGTTGTAAAATGGTTTTGCTTTGCTTTTCAGTTAACTACAGTATCAGACCTGAAGAGTTTTGTAAATTTAAATCTTGCAATTGTATACCTACGAACAAACCGACAAACAGAACTAGTGGGATTGTTAGAAAGTATAGACCCTGAGAAACTGGAATCAGGGTGAGTGGCTCCTCATATTTAGAAGATAGGTTTAATCCTTTGCAGGATTAAACTTTTGATGAAATTTTGTAAGTTAGGTTAGTGTTTAGTCTGTCATAAACTCTGAAACAAATCTATTAAATACATCCCATTCTCTAACAGTAATAGTATGCAAAGCTATAACAGTAAGTTTAGATTAGTTTCTGTAAATGAAGAGTCCCTGGGCTCCCATTTGATATATTTTTGAGTAATTTTACTACATTTTTGTATGAAATGTTTTCATTTCGGAGATTATATGATAGTCGTTTATGATAGGTTGATGTTATTAAAAATGTTTGTCATTATTACCATCTTTAGTGTGAGTGCTTATCTATTGTAACACATATGCTTGCAGATCACATAGTTTAAAGGCAGCAGCATATTATGTCCAGGGTTTACAAGCATTTTTCCAAGCAAGATACAATGAAGCAAAGTAAGTGACAGATGCATGTTTCCCTATTCATGATGTTCTTACAGGCTTAGCAGCTGTAGAATTGTTGGCGTAGCATGATACAACATTGATCCACAGAGATTTGTTAGACTTGGATGAGGCTGTTATGTGAATGTATAACAGTAAGCAGTATCTGTCTGAACATTTAAGGGTGTTTGTTTGTTTTATTGATAGTGTGGACAGCAGACAACGACATGTGTGGCAAATCACAACACATGATTCCAGGACATCTTTTTCCTGTCTTTAATTGAAGAATGGCATGTATAGGTGAATATGTGATGTGAGATGAATTTGATACTAGACTGGTAACTGATTGAAGATGACATTGTGTTGCAGGCGCTACCTCAGGGAAACATTGAAGATGTCCAACGCAGAAGATTTGAACAGATTAACATCATGTTCGCTTGTACTCCTGGGGCATATATTTCTTTCATTAGGAAACAACAGAGTACGTAGTTTCGTCATTTTGTAAGCAGTTTATCTGTTCGTCACAGATATTGATTCGGTGCTCCAGTATATGAATACAGGTCACCTGCCAGGAAAAAACTCGTGTTCAGCCATTCAAATGCTTTTGTGTCATTATTAAGTGGTCAATATTATTCAAAACCATTCATACTGATGTATAACTGTATGAGAAAGTAACCTCCTTTGGCCTACTGTCTTCATGTACACTTCCCTTTGAGATGTGTCCAAGCTATCATGTGCCCTTATAGTTTGGGTCGGTGATTACACATTCACCCTTATAGGCTGATTAGTGATTACATCTCACCCCTGAGAGCTGGTTAGTTATTACACCTGTACTCCTGTAGACTGGGTCAATGATTACGCCTTCACACCAATGTTCTGGGTCACCTGTGGGTAAGGTCTGTGTTCATGCCTACACCACCTGTGGGTGAGGTCAATGTTCTCGCCTATACTCCCTGTAGGTTAGGTCAGTGCTCACACCTACACCCCCTGTGGGTGAGGTCAGTGTTCATACCTTAAGCCACCTGTGGGTGATGTCAGTGTTCATGCCTACACACACCCCTGTGGGTGAGGTCAGTGTTCATGCCTACACCCGTCCCCCCTCCTGTGGGTGAGGAGAGTGTTCACGCCTAAAACTACCTGTGGGTGATGTCAGTGTTAATGCCTACACCTCTGTGGGTGAGGTCAGTGTTCATGCCTAAAACCTCCGGTGGGTGTTGTCAGTGCTAGCATTAGAATTTTACTGGTAGTGGTGGAAGATACGTGCTGTTGACATTTGTGAGATTTCATATCGTGTATTATTTCCATATTGCCCATATTTCCAGGAAGCAATGAATATGGTAACACCTGCAATGCAGCTTGCTGGGAAAATCCCTGATGTTCATGTCCAACTTTGGGCATCGTCACTCTTAAAAGGTAAACAAGTCTCTTTATGTGCAAGTTGAACAAATTTAAGGCTTTTCTGTGAATATGATTACAGGTAATGATAGGTTTGTTTTCATTTTCTCATATATGTTCTTGCTGTGCATCCCTTGGGCATTGTCGAGACCCGGTTTAACCGTGACAGCACCATACCATATAGTGGAAATGTACTCCATCACATTGACAAACTCTGATACGTGTAAAACGGAGGTCGTCATGAATATTATTATGCATTTTATCTTTACTGTGGTGTTTCAGACCTTTACCGTATGTGTGGGGACTCTCATAACGAGGCTGAAGAGTTCCGGATGCACTCAAGTTTCTCACAGTCCCTCCTCAAAGACCACTTTCAGTCCTCCCAGATGTCAGAACATGGACTCATACAGGTCAGTTACACCCCCAGCTTTATATACCATGCGCTCACACTGATCATATTGTCAGATACAGCTCTTCAGATCACAGATAGCTCCAGGTTCTGTTTATTGTTGATTCTGAACTCTGAATACTGAATAAGTATGTGGGCCTTACATAAATCCCAAGCTTCATTTTTGTTAAACTTGATGGAGACAGTTTCTTGCTTGTTGTGTACAGTCAGATGTGAATTTAATTTCAGTGGAAGAAATATACAATGACCTCAGAGCAAACTTTCTAAACATTTTCACATTGGATATTCATGATAAGGCAATCACACTTGCCTGATAGTGTCTCCTGGTGGTCATACACTATTGAAGTGACATTGTTTTTATATGTTTAGGTAGCATAGCCACCTGCTATTAATGTGTTTTGTGTGTAGGCCTAGGTTTGTAGTAAGTTTTACCCAGAAATATGGTATCTTATTCTTGGAACTAAAAAGGTATTACAATATCTCCTTCCTTTTAACCTCATCCAATGTGATTTTGTAATTATAAGCTAAAGACTAGTGTTACTATGTAATCATACAATGGATAGTAATACGGTGGACAGGAAATACTTGTATCAAGTTGGTGATAGTCTTAGGACTCTATCATATTTTGCTTACACACCCACAGAAAAGTTTTCAATAAATATGTTTGAGAATGTTAAAGTTTATGAAGAATATCAAAATATATATAAAAATTTAAGACCCCATACTTCAAAATATAATTATTTACTCAGAAAGATGCACATGGAGAGTACACTTGTGTTTCTTTCTTTTTTTCTTATTTTTTTAAAACAATTTTACAATTGTTATATTCTGATATGTGATGGTTTTTTTGTTCATTTCAGTGGACAGATGGTCAGTGCCCGTTTCACCTGTGTAGTACATCAGTGGGGTCCAGCTCTATGTTGTGAAAGCTGACTAAGGTGGGGTCCAAATGACCTGGCTGTGTATAGAATATATGGACCTGGGCTTCTGGCCCCCGTGTCTGTGGTTGCCATGGCTGCAGTTGAGCCAACTGCTAGCAACCGTGAGGGTCCTTTGAAATGTGTTAAACACATTATGGCAGCAAAAAGGAAACCTGAACGTGGTTCTTGTTTCTGGTTTGGGCTCTCCTGAGATTCCAAGCACAGAGCAAAAGCAAGTGTTGTGGTGCGAGGCAGTTCCTTACCCCTCTCAGGACAAGATCTACAGAGCTTGACTGACATGAGATATTATCCAAACATGATGTCAGGGAATAGTCAAACCTCTTGCTCACAACTAGATATGTTTAGAGGGAAGGATGAGTCACTACACCAGAAGTGCTGCCACATTTGTGGAATCCAGTTGAGATTCCCGTCAGGAGAAAGGGCAGGTCCCTTCACCATTGTTCTTGTCGTCATGCTAAGCAACATCTCCGATACAGATATCTTTGCCATATTCATATTCCTTGAAAGATGTCCTACAACTACAATGACTGCATTCAACACCATTATGGGAAGTGCACTCTTGGTTTGTCCTGTTAGCTCCTGGTATTGCCTGTGTTCATCCTGTATGTTGGCTGCAAATTTATTTCAGTCTCACTTTACATTTTACACATAACTGTTTTATTTTTATGCTGAAGTGCTGAGGGAAGATGACCTTATTCTGGAACATTTTATATGATCCCATTTAAACGGTAGTACATTACATATTTCATCAGTAAGTAATATTTCACTTAAATATTTTGCTTGATAAAATAAATAAGATGATACTAAGCAGTTATATATAGAGTGATGAAAAAATTCCATTTTAAGAAAAAGTCTAAATCTGTCTCACAGCTTCATATAGAAAATGCTTGTGTTAATGTTGATTATACTGCATTTGTCTCTGAAAAATATAAACAATGAATTCTAACAATACCTTCTATGTAAATATACTGACATTTTGTGCGCCAATTGCATCTGCATCTTAATCATTGAAATCTCCATCGTCTCTATCGCAGGGCAGTCAGGTCTTAGAGTAGCCCATCACTACACTACAGTTGGTACCACTATTCAGTTCCAGTCAAGTAAAAGCCTGTTGAATGTAGGAAACTCTGCTAATAGTAGTCCATATTTCATAACATAGATATGTACTGTGGAGATAATAAGAGCAAAGTGTGCGCTAATAGTCTCAAAAGGTTTGCAGGACAAAAGGGATATGTCCTATTATTTGTTTACATGAATGGACTCAAGCTTAGGGTCAAATGGAATGATGCTATATGAATGGTTTACATAATATTATTAGCCTAAAGTTTAAGTTATAAGTTTTATCGATGAATTTCTCATAGAGTATATACAGTGGAAGCTCTCAAAACCGGCAGACCTCCAATCCGGCACGCTCTCAATATCGGCACTAGAAGTTGGTCCCGGCAGAAGCTAGTTAATTTATGATCATTTACATGCCCTCTAATTCCGTATTTCAGCACAACAAAGACCGCCCAATTGACTGTTTGTACAGTAATTAATGCTCTCTATACCAGCATCCAGTATCTTGGCTCTCCTGTTGATCGGCTGATTGGCTGAACGTATATTAACAACACAGTGGATTACCATCGTCTCATTGATGTTGCCTGATAAAAGGAGTATGGATAAGGATTAGGCCATAGGTGGATCCAGAGGAGGGGTGCGCACCCCCCCTTTTGTCCTGAAAGTTTATTAATTGAAACTCTGGTGAAAATGAAGTGTGCCTCTCCCTTTTCTCAATAGTGTGCACCCCCCCTTTTCTCAATAGTGTGCACCCCCCCTTTCTCAAAAAGCTGTATCTGCCCCTGTTAGGCCCAAGTAGGTGAGATCACTTGTATACTTGCTTGATATGCTGAAAGACATCAGATACTTTGCTTTGACAAGCGAAGTAAGGTTATTACTTTACGACATAGGGAAGATCATTCTCAGGGTGAAAAGGGAAAAGTTCTCTAAACCGGCACACCCTCTTTGCCGCCTTTTTTTGCCGGTCCCAACGAATGCCAGTTTAGAGGGCTTCCACTGTACTTACGTGCATGTATCATACATTTATAAACCGGTGTATTTCTGGAAGACGTTGTCTCCCCTTTTGAAATTGGTTTACTTGATGATAGTACTTTGGTATTTTTCCTAGTACTGTATTACACAGAATGCACTTTTGAAGTCATGGAATGTAAACATAATAAGGAGATGAAGGCAATGAATTGATTAATCATAAAACATAACATCAACTGCAACAAACATATATCATGTAAATCTTATCCATGTGAGGAGGTGGCAAGGCACCGTTACTCTTGCCATGGCCTGTTTTCATCCATCATGTGATAAAAGGATTTGTCCACACCATGTGTAATCAGTTTCACTGTTTGTAAATTTGTATCCAACTGTTCTCATTATCAGCTTTATGCAAGACGCCTTGAGTAACTCTCTCTCTGCAGGTTCTGGGAATATCATTTTCTTGGGCGTGTACTCTCTGTCAGTAATAAAAAAGGATTCAAGATGTTGGACAGGTTTCATTTTATGTACAGTGGAAACATTCATAATTATAGCTGTTTCTTTTTAACCATTACCCTTCAGCTGAAAATGTCTCTCTTCTATTTCATATCAATATCACATCAAGGGGGGAACTACATTATCTTTGCCTTTCATAGCCATTAAATGATATTAGTGCTGTATTTCAAGGTTTTCAACATAGCTAAATCACATATATATATTTTTAGATATGACACTATTTTCCTTCACACCAAATCCACAGTGTGTTAATGATATATGCTTTTACACCCTAGTCTGACACAGCGATGGTACCTGGTCTCTGGGGAGAGAAGGTTGAAACCTCTGAGGAAGTTTGTACCAGTCTGTGATGGTTCCCCTTGCTGTTGAGGTGGAACCAATGTACATGGTCATTATGCTGTATGTCTTGTCTTTATGTTGTGATTATCAGTATCCATTGTCATTGTTTCCTTATGTTTCATCCTAAAATCACTATTATTATGGCTGTGTTACATGTCATACCAGGAAGTGTTAACTTTGTGTCTTTCTTTATCCTATAAACTGAAATATTCAAATAGAATTATTGAACAACAGAGTCCTACCTGAGACATTTATGATAATAGCTACGGAGGTTCATATGAATAATGTAAAGCCCCCTCCAAAAAAATGTTGTTCCGATTACCCGACTGCCCCTTGAATGCTGGTGCCGACCCTATTCTGTGTAAGCGGACTGAATAAAATAAGCTTTCAGATACCATTGTTTTTTCCCCGGCACCGACAGATATCGGTCATTCTGATAGAGAAAGTGGACATGATGGCCGCAAGCTTGATTGAATAAACAATTACACATTGATACATGTGCTATCAGTTTGTACTTTCCTTCTTAAAAACAATATGAAAAGAAAATTCCTACCTACCTACCTACCCTAAATTTTAAGGAGGTGTAATCGGAACCGCAACATTTTTTTTATTTGGCCTAATGTGTAATAGCAGTTTGGTGGAATTGTTTTAGGTGACGGAGCATGAATGGCACTCACTCAGCAGAGTTGTGACCCTTCCCCATAACTGGCACTGATGATCTAGGTTTCATATTTGACCTGTTGCCTATCCACACAATAGCCATACTTGAAGGTTTCATCAAAGTGATAAATGTATACAACCATCTCTTCAGCCGATACATTGTGATATGCCTAATGTTTTTCAAAGCAATGTTAAACTTTTATGTACTTGGGGAATATTTGATGGTTTATCATGCCATCTGTCTTCTGTCTTTCTGTATCAATCTACTGCTTTTGACAAACATTATAGAAATGTATTAACCCAAACATCTGATTCCTTCATGAACTAAATTATGACAAATAGAATATTCAAGGTATTGAAGTCATGATTTCTCAATGAAAGCTCACCAGCAGTAAAAGAGAGTGCTTTTATATGTATTCTTGAAAAATTAGATGTATATTTAATATACTGTTAACCCAAAGCTGATAATCAAGTTTTATTGAATAAATAAACAAGTGGCATATATTATGTTACTATAGGAAGACATAGCTGGAAGTTTTGAGTACTTGTGTTGAGCTCTTGGTAACTACGAGCTAATTTTCTTTGAAATGCTTGAAAATTATACTTGTAAAATTTTATAAATAATCATGCAATAATGTTGGTTTGTATGTAATTGTAGATCATGTATTATTGCTGTCAGAAACCTGTTCCTCAAAGTCATCTTAGCAATATGATTGTTGTATTCTACTTTCGATATTGGTCATAGCTGTGAGAAAAACACTTTTTGGAACAGGGCTGTGGGTTTAGGAAAGTTGATGCTGACTTCGGTTGGGATATTTTGAGAATCATTTGTATGACATACGTATGAATTATGCCTGAATCGAGGCGATATATTTATTTATGCATATGATTTGATATTCTACTGGGTTTCTTTGTTTGCTATTCAACTATCATGATGAATTTCTTCTATAGAATAATAGCAATGCTTCATTGTGGATTATGGGGGCAGTATGGTAGGATAACAACCTTGTGACCAGTTTCAAAACCTTAACATATACTACACCCTTCTTTTCTATCAGGGTCAAATTGGTTTACAATCTACAAACGTGAAATAATTGAAATGTGAACAAAAAAGAGAGGTGTATTTCTGTCGATAAGGGAAATAGATTCTGTCACTATCAATATAAATACTAGTAAGTTATTTACAATATAAATCATTCATTCAAATTAGACATACTTCAAATCTGTCAGTACCTACATGGGTACAATGTGTGAAGCCCATCTCTGGTGTTCCCCATGTGATATTGCAGGAATATTTCTAAAAGCAGCGTAAAACCAAACTCAGTCACTCAAATCTGTCAGTAATTAATGTTAAAGTACTGCAAATTATTCATGAATTTCAAGATAAAATTTGATTTTTTACAAATTCATGTACCATCTATTAACCCCTTTTGGCCCACAATTTGTAAGTCCCCCTAAAGGAGAGAAATATTTCAAAGAGTCAGGTCTCCATACCAATGGGGAAAATGTAACACTACTGAGGTAGGATCAGTTCTTATGTTTCCCAACTATCCATGCTTGTGTCATCTGAAGTAGGGATTGTGTGGTTATGCTGCTTGTTGAGAATGTATTATGGGAATAAGAGACTGGACACATCAATAAGTGTGGATTATCTGTCCAGTTGAGTTAAGGCTTGCACTTTTGAGTTTTCCCACTGTTATAGAGCTGACAAGACATTTAACCAAATAGGCCTTTAGCTTTTTATACCAACAGTAATTGTTTAAATAGGTTGACAGCAACCTTCCTGGTATGTTTCTCATTTGAGGCTGGCTCAGTTAGTGTCTCCATCTTAGATCGCTGGGGACATTGTTCATTACATCAATCACTGGTTTGTTTGGTCCACTTTTTTATACTATTTACGAGCCCTGTCACATAGCAGGAATATTGAAGCTTAAACAACAAGAAACAACCCCCTCCTTCGTTGGAATACATTATCAATCGATTACATATATGTATAATCTTATAAAGTTCAGTCTTAATGTTGGCATCAGCAGGTTATACTGGCCTGTGACTTGTTGAAGTTTCTCACAACTGATGGGCAGTGTTAGTTGTGAGAACAGCCATCTGACCACCTGAAGCCCTGTGGAAGGATATACAAATTGTTTCTGGTATGATCATGGAGCTTGCTGATTACTGTTGTTTTCCCTCTTGTTTCGCTCATCTCATTGAACGTCACTACAATAACTGTAGGTTGATGTACACAGTAGGAGTGCTTTGTAAATACGTCATTTTTATGTATTTTACAATCAAATCAAGTTTATAAAAAGGTAAAAACTAAGCAGTTGTTTGTCTTTATTTTTAATGGTGACATGGAGATTTCAACTAAGACAGTCGCATGTTTATGACGTTGTCATTTTTCAGGATATAGAACAACAAAGTGTTCTCACTTTTCTCCTGATATCTCGTCTGCCGGGGTTACCAAACAGTTTTGAGTTTTTCTGTGTACCAAGTGCCACTCGCCCATGCTATAGTGCCTTCGCTGCTGAAGCTGTGTTGCGGACACTGTCTGGAGCCATTATTAAATCAAAGAAGTGTATGAAGCCATTTAGGGCAAAGAAAATGTTCATCAATATGTGTTTGTATGGCCGACACATACTGAAGCCATTTTAGAGCAAAGAAGTGTTCATAAAATCTGGACGCATTGGAACGTGGATGTTCTGTGGATTTTATATTAGACAAATGT